CTGCAAGCTAAAACACCGTTATCCTATAATGTTCATCTGTAGCTTGACCCTAAAAACTCGTTATTAAACGAATTTATTGTTAGAGTTCATTAGGAATCAACTGTGTTAAAGGCAGAGCTCCCAACAAATACCTTCCTGTGATTGGCTGTTGCGGGGAATGCCAACGCTTATATGAATAAAATGCAAAATAAGAAATACGTCCTTTTGCTCAACAACCTTGGTGTTGTTGTACAAAAGAACAACAATTTCTGTTTTATACAAGACAGAAATTTCCGTCTAACTGAATAATGTAGACCAATAAGAGGGCGGAGGCATTGTATCGCCGATATTATTTGCGTGAGACAACCCCCACTGATGACGTCACAAGTCAGGTCGCCAGCCCATGTACCTGTAACACTCGTTACATCCTGCAGTATTTAATTATCACTTTATTAATACTTTTAAATACTTAACACTTCACTTTTTAGGGAGATTAAAGTTGAAGCAGAATGTCATAAGCAAGGATGGTGTGCTGAATAAAGATGATTTATTAAGTGGATGGAGCCTTCAACTGATCCCTTCCTGTGATTGGCTGTGGTGAATGTCAACAAAGAGTTTCTACTAATGATATGCCATTTATTATGCACCCCGTATCATCTTGTGAGCGGAGCGTGGAACCTCCTACCCGAGCACAACAACCCACCTTATTGGTTGCTGTTTGGCTATTTATAGTGCGTTGGAAAAAAACAGATGGCGTTAGTTGTATTTTGCAGGGTAATTTGTTATAAGTGTAATTTGATGTCAACAGATGGCGTAAGCTGTATCTTATGGCCACTGTTGACCAGCCAGTTGATAGTGTTCTCTTCTGCCGACAGATGGCATCAGCTGTGTTATTATTACTTCCGAATTCCCTTTAAACACTGATCTACAAATCCCTTGGCTTATGATAAGGTTTTATACCATTTATGATAAGTATTAGATAACTGGAGTTCCGCAATTACTTTTATTTATCAACTGTTCAGGATATCATCATATAACGTCTGGTTAGGACGATTGATTGATGAAGATTAAGCCACCCAAAAGGTGGCACGGGCATGAATAGCCCGTAAATACTGCTCTCGTAATATTATTCAGGGAGGTGAGGGAACTATCAAGTGAAAGCGCCAAGCCATTACGACTATATAGCACTCGGAAGGGATCAGGATACGGATTTGGGATGGAACGGGGGAAAGGAATGGTGCCCAACCTCTTGGGCGGTCGGGGATTGAACGCGGACCTGTAGGAAACGAGACCGTCGCTCTACCGTCCAGCCCAAGTGGTTAATCGTAATATTATTAAAACAACAATTTATGCATATAATAACAGCATTTCACACTAAAAATACTTGGATATATCGAAATTTGGTAGTGAATTCCAATCCAGGAATCTCCTATGACTAAACTGTACTTTTTAATTATTTTTATGTACTTACTACTTATTATTTAAATTATTAAGTACTTACTAGAATATATATATATATATTATATATATATATATATATATATATATATATATATATATATGTCGTACCTAATAGCCAGAACGCACTTTTCAGCCTACTATGCAAGGCCCGATTTGCCTAATAAGCCAAGTTTTCCTGAATTAATATATTTTCTCTAATTTTTTTCTTATGAAATGATAAAGCTATCTATTTCATTATGTATGAGGTCAATTTTTTATTATTGGAGTTAAAATTAACGTAGATATATGACCGAACCTAACCAACCCTACCTAACCTAACCTAACCTATCTTTATAGGTTAGGTTAGGTTAGATAGCAAAAAAGTTAGGTTAGGTTAGGTTAGGTTGTTGAAAAAAAATTAATTCATGAAAACTTGGCTTATTAGGCAAATCGGGCCTTGCATAGTAGGCTCAGAAGTGTGTTCTGGCTACTAGGTACGACATATATATATATATATATATATATATATGTCGTACCTAGTAGCCAGAACTCACTTTTCAGCCTACAATGCAAGGCCCGATTTGCCTAATAAGCCAAGTTTTCATGAATTAATATATTTTCTCTAATTTTTTTCTTATGAAATGATAAAGCAACCCATTTCATTATGTAAGAGGTCAAATTTTTTTATTGGAGTTAAAATTAACGTAGATATATGACCGAACCTAACCAACCCTACCTAACCCTAACCTATCTTATAGGTTAGGTTAGGTTAGGTAGCCGAAAAAGTTAGGTTAGGTTAGGTTAGGTAGGTTAGGTAGTCGAAAAGCAATTAATTCATGAAAACTGGCTTATTAGGCTAACGGGCTATCATAGTAGGCTCAGAAGTGAGTTCTGGCTACTAGGTACGTTATGTCGTCCCTAATAGCCAGAACGCACTTCTCAGCCTACTATTCAAGGCCGATTAGCCTAATAAGCCAAGTTTTCATGAATTAATGTTTTTTCGTCTACCTACCTACCTAACCTAACCTAACCTAGCTACCTAACCTACCTTACCTATAATATAGGTTAGGTTAGGTTAGGTAGGGTTGGTTAGTTCGGTCATATATCTACGTTAATTTTACTCCAATAAAAAAATATTGACCTCATACATAGAGAAAAGGGTTGCTTTATCATTTCATAAGAAAAAAATTATAGTAAATATATTATTCAGGCAAACTAGGCTTATTAGGCAAATAGTAGGCTGAGAAGTGAGTTCTGGCTACTAGGTACGACATATATATATATATATATATATATAATATATATATATATATATATATATATATATATATATATATATATATATATATATATATATATATATATATATATATAGAAGGGGTACCACCTCTGGTGCAAATGTAGGGACCCATAGCCTCGGAGAAGAAAATAAAGAGTACTCAGAGAAGACCTTGTGGATCCTCACTGAACATTTTGATATTTTCTTCTCCTACCACCCCTATTCTTTTGTTAAGTGTGTATATTTATCTAACTTTATTGAAAATGTCATTACACAAAAAAAGTTACAATATTGATTACATACAGGGTACAAGGCTGCTTGTCACAAGTTGAATAGCTCCTCCAGCTCCTCAGATGGCGGGCAGGAACCATGGATGCAGTGAGCATTTCCTCTCTGGATTGCCACACTAAGGCGCTGAAAAAGAAAACTGGCAGCTCTGGGGTCTCTAGTTGTTTCGATTAGCTTAGACCCCAACTCCTTTAAAAAGCTAGCAGCACTTTTACCCCAGGCACCAAGTGTCTCTGAGGCAATGGGGACAAAATTGTAGTGGTGCTCAAGGTCTCTGTATTTACGTGACTTGGCCGCTTCCCGTGATTGGCAGCTCCTCCTGCTTGTGTAGCACTGAAGTCAACATAGGTACTGGCCAAAGTTGAAACGCAAGTGTAGTCCCACACCACCTGTCTACCATTCTTCCAGGGGTTCACCGTAATTCCGTCTGGGCGACCGACAGGCTCATCAGAGTTGCGGGACTTAGGTAACGGGGCTCTCTCTCTGCTGGACAACCGGCTGTGGTAAGGCTCCTCTTATAATGTCATTAACCTCGCCGTGTCTTGCATGCCATCCTCCCGTCCTTTGGCAAAGAAGGCCATGCCGTCCGTATCTGTCGGCCTCTGCCTCGCCGCAAATACACCTGTATTTGGTGTGGGATTGGGGCAGCTAGGCGGAGAGCCACGGCAATTCGGAGGGCCTGCGTGTGAGATGGGTGCCGGTTGCTGACATTGGGGTTGCTAATAGGAAATCACCTGCATGGGGAGCTGCTACAGCTCTAAGTCGGGCAGTGATATATATATATCGGGCAGTGATATATATATATATATATTATATATATATATATATATATATATATATATATATATATATATGACAATGTCAGACCACGAAGGAAAAATGAAACAGGAAATTTCCTTAAGTACTTTCGTATATTAAATACATCTTCAGAAGGTGACCTTCTGAAGATGTATTTAATATACGAAAGTACTTAAGGAAATTTCCTGTTTCATTTTTCCTTCGTGGTCTGACATTGTCACATTCTTAATCACGTGTTTATTTTCGTGATATATATATATATATATATATATATATATATATATATATATATATATATATATATATATATATATATATATATATATGTCGTACCTAGTAGCCAGAACTCACTTCTCAGCCTACTATGCAAGGCCCGATTTGCCTAATAAGCCAAGTTTTCATGAATTAATTGTTTTTCGACTACCTAACCTACCTAACCTAACCTAACCTAACTTTTTCGGCTACCTAACCTAACCTAACCTATAAAGATAGGTTAGGTTAGGTTAGGTAGGGTTGGTTAGGTTCGGTCATATATCTACGTTAATTTTAACTCCAATAAAAAAAATTGACCTCATACATAATGAAATGGGTAGCCTTATCATTTCATAAGAAAAAAATTAGAGATAAATATATTAATTCAGGAAAACTTGGCTTATTAGGCAAATCGGGCCTTGCATAGTAGGCTGAGAAGTGCGTTCTGGCTACTAGGTACGAAATAGAGAAAATATATATATATATATATATATATATATATATATATATATATATATATATATATATATATATATATATATATATATATATATATATAGGGGTACCACCACTGGTTTAATTAAAGGGACCCACATCCTCGAAGAAGAAAATAAATAGTGTTCAGAGAAGACCCTGTGGATTCTCACTGAATACTTTAATCTTTTCCTCTCCTACCACCCCTATTATTTTTGTTATATATATATATATATATATATATATATATATATATATATATATATATATATATATATATATATATATATATAATGTGTGTGTGTGTATGTGCAGAAATAATATTAATAAAACAATTAACATCGTGTAGTGTACTCTATATATCAAAATATATTACTTTGAAACCCATATCATGCATTCACTAAAAAAAATTGGGCTACTCTAATTACAAATTCGCTACTTGTAGACCATCAGCTCGCTATTTTCAGCCATTTAGATCTGGCACCCCTGCTTCCGTCGGTGTGTAACCGCCCACAGCACCCAGAGCTCTGCGGCACCCTGCGCTCTCGCCTTCTAGTTTGTTTACCTTCTTTAAAAAACAGTTGTTGTTGTCTGTCGACAGGCATTGCCATTTAACCCGATACGAGAACGTCTGTGTACATCCACCACCATTGACGTCGTGGCCCTCCCCATCTCCTCAACACCCTCATTATGGCCTTCTCCGGCACCCGTCTCAGTTTAAGTTATATTAGTCGCCATATCTGGGGTTTACAGGCGTCCTTACCGGTAGTGGGCTACAAGAGCGCTGTAAGTTTGGGCAAGATTTACCCCTCAAGTGACCTCTGCATTACTACTTTACAAACGGTCAGTAGTCACTACTATAACTGCAGTAATATAATTTTCAAGTAAATACAAAATAAGCAATATACTGTATGCAGGTTTAGACCAAGTGTATTTTTTTTTTGTTATTGAAAGACATGCTGTATACTGTCTCAACCCAAGCACAACTCTGAATAATCTCCCATAACCCAGTTATGGTTTGTGGCCATGTGTTTGAAGAACACTGCAGAATATGCATTGCTTTAATCGGCATATTTTATTAATGCTCTTAACACTTGTATGTTGTTCATTGATTAAACTATTTTTAAATAATCATGTGAAATGCATTTAGATGAGCAGAATTTATGCAGCCCTGTATAATATAGAATAAAAAGCAACTTGCTACATGCATTTAAAATTAACAGTGAGACTGACAGTCTGTATTCAGAAAATACTTAAATATTCTCTCATCAGATAATGTTTTTAATATTATAGGCTAAATATTTAAATTAATTAGAGTAGTTATTGTATAGAATAGTTTGGCAGAGGTTGTACTAATCAAGAGTAATACCATATACTGTATAGTACAGAGAGCTCCTCAAAATCTGGGCCTCCATATAATGAATTTTGAAAAGTGCATTATTGGTGATAAAAATGCAGATTATGTTGCAGACCAAAATCAACCCATTTCTAGTGTCTGGACACAAAAAACAAGCATCTCCAAATTAATTGCAAATGTCACTGACTCGTGTCATACCTGGAGCATACCTTGGGAGGGTTCTGACAATTCTTATACAGAAACAGACATATATATGCTTTTTTCTCTCTTATTTTTCTTCCTTCTCATTCTCTGCCGTACATGTACATTTACATATACTACAGTAGAGTGAAGGGGGAGCTCACTGGGAAGAGTGTCAAGAAAAATCCAGCACAAGACACCACCAGAAGAGAAGGCACCGGCCTTCTCAGAGGAGCAGAGTCTTTGCCTGCTCTCTCTCTATGGTGTGGGTGCCGGAAGCCGCTGAGTGACTGGGGACAAAAAGTTTCGGATGCTGTATGAGCAACACAGAGATTCGAATTCAGGTCCTGTCGCAAGATTGTGCCAGCCCTGACTTGCATTACTCCACTGATGCTGCCGCCGCCATTCCGCCCCTTTCTCACGGCAATTGGGTGCAGCTATATGGCTACCCTTGTCAAAAGCACTATGCTCTCTTGCACATCAATATCAGACCTTACCGCTTAGTTGTTCCAAGGAATGATTTGCTAAACATGGGTGTGTGATTTGACACATACTGCTACCATACCATGCTCAATAATATCTGATATTAATGCTCGGTGGCTAATAAGAAATGAGCCACCGAATAAGGGATCCAGTGTTGAACACTGATGAATACATGAATGCTATTTTCTGTACAAAGAACCAAACACCTGGGAGCTACAAATATTATTGCCTTATGCACTATTGTCTAATACTGTGGAAAGCAAAGGAATAATAACATACACCATAATGTACAGTACATGTTAATGCTTGCAAGATTCTGCAAGATTCACTTACAAAATGGTTGATGTATCTTGCAGTCTGCATACCTGACCCATAATGTCCTGTCACTTGGCATGCAGCAAAATTCTTGCTGTTGCCATTTATTGGTTAATATCTGTTGGCATCAAATGGCTATTGTCATATTATACAAGAATGTCTTTCAATTCATATCTTAGGTTTTGCAATAGATTTTATATAACTATTTTTCAGTTCATCTTCAATGTCAATACAGTGTCCAGTGTCCCTTTCTTAAGTATCAGGCAACCAGCAGCTTTATGCTACCTCTCAGGAGCTTTATTCTTGTGACACTTTGGCATATAGGCAAACGAGTGTTGGCAAGATGAATGTGCCACTAGACCACAGTTTAGAAGCTATATGTTCAAGCTTGAAGCATCACTATTCCCTGTATAAGACAGACTGGGAGCAGTCAAATTTGCCACCATTGCAGCTTGCATTGCAAGCTGCATAAATTCCAGGTACTCAGGTACGGTAAAAATGAGGACCTTAAACATAATACAGGGTACAAAACACAATCAAATCTGCCCATAGTAGGAAAACAGCATGTAAAGGATTTGGGAATAATGATGTCTGACAACCTAACTTTTTGGGAGCTTAACCAAGCAAATATTGTGTCGGCCAGCAAAATGACAGGATGATTTACGAGAACTTTCAAATCCAGAGATCCCATTACAATGATTGTACTCTTCAAATCACTTGTGCTGTCCCAGCTTGAGTACTGCTCAGTGCTCACTTACCCCTTCAGAGAGATTGTTGAAATAGAGGGAATACAGAGAACGTGTACAGCATACATAGACGAGATAAAGCATCTAATTTATTGGGATCACCTCAAAGCTCTCCAAATGTAAATGTCTCTCCAAAGCTCTCACTAGTAAGGAGACAAGAGAGATATAAAATAAAATACACGTGGAAAATACTGGAGGGCCAGGTACCAAATCTGCACAGTAAAATAACAATGTACTGAAGTGAACGATAGGGAAGAAAATGCAGAAAAGAACCAGTGAAGAGTAGGGGTGCCATGGGCAAAATCAGAGAACACTATATAAACATTAGAGGTCCATGCTTGTTCAACATCCTCCCAACGAGCATAAGAAATATTGCAGGAACAACCGTGGACGTCTTCAAGAGAAAACTCGATAGTTTTCTTCAAGGAGTGCTGGATCAACTGGGCTGTGGTGAGTATGTGGGCCTGTGGGCCGCTCCAAGCAACAGCCTGGTGGACCAAACTCTCACAAGTCAAGATTGGCCCCGGGCTGGGCTTGGGGAGCAGAAGAACCTCCAGAACCCCATCAAGCAGGTATTGACCAACTAGTACCTGAACCCATGAGAACAATGCCTGTTGTAGGGCTAATTTCTTTATGTTCTCTCAACAAAATTTTCTAATGATCGTCGATTGCATGTGTAATGACTCAATTAGCTTTAGAAGTTATGAATGCACTGAATAAGCATTTTAATGATTGCTGAGTCTCTCTTTCGGGTTATGTTGCATGTTCAATTCAAAACATGCAACATAACATGTTGCATGTTTGAGTCTAATATGGTCCTTAATTCTTATTATTGATATTACCCTATGTATGATTGTCTGCACATTGACATACAGTAGACAAGGAACACCAATTGTTTACTGTACAGTATGCACTTGTTTGGAAGCATTGTGCTCTGCAGTGAAGTGCAGGTGAAAATGTATTAAATGCTGACTTTTACAAGGCTTTTACAAAATATAGGATGGTTCGATCTCTTCCATGATTTTGGGGATAAGATAGCATGCTTAAAGGCACACATTTTTATAGTCTTATCATGGTAATACCAATATATTTATCTAAGCCTGCTGTTCTGTCTCTCAACATAGAAAAATTATTGGAGGAGGAGAATCATCCTCGAGGAGAATCTGTAATTATCTTAAGGGATTAAAATATTGTAGCTTGAAGTACTGTATAGTACCTGAAAAAGACAGTCTAAATGTATAATGGCAGGCTGCTATTAAAACATAAGCAGTGCTTAACTATTAAAAGGAAAATTTACTTATCTTTATCTTTCAGGACCTTTTCAGAAGCATAGTGGAAAAATCTGAAGAGTACAAGCAAGTAGATAAAATTAGTGAAATATTTTTAATGATGTATTGAATTTTATATTTAGGAAAGATGAAAGTAAACAAGGTACAGTACTGTATTTGATTAATTCCACCAGCCTCCTAAGATGAAGCTAAGCATTGTATGATTTGTTACCCAGCCCCCTTGGATGAAACTGAACATTGTATGATTTGTTCCCAAGCCTCCTAAGATGAAACTAAACCTTGTATCATTTATTCCCCAGCCTCCAAAGACTGAAGGCCTCAACTTTTCTGGTTATGTGCCAATGGGTAAGTTTCGCATTTCTTTCAAATATATTTAGAAATTTTTAATTTAGAAAACTTGTGTCTGTGTCTTTCAGGCATAAGTAAACTTAATAAAAATGACATCTTTTGTATTTGATGCAGTTACTGATACAGTATATGGCACAGGTGGTTTGATATCCTCAATTGATATCATCAATTAAAGCATTTTCTTTCTCAAGGTTTCTGTTCGGTGTCTTCAAAATGCCTCGTGGAATTCATTTGAATCCTACAACACGTATGATCATTAAATTTAACATGATTATTTTATTGGGCAATTTAGCTCTGTGGCATCTTTTTTTCTTCTTTGTTCCGAGAGTACTTTTCTTTTTTGTTTCGAGAGAGGGCTTTTTCCTCGTTCCGAGAGAATACTTTTCTTCTTTGTTCCACAGGAGAGCTTTTTTCTTTGTTACAAGAGAGAGCTTTTCTTCTTTGTTCCAAGAGACAATTTTTCTTTGTTGAAAGGGAGAGCTTTTCTTTGTTTTAAGAGATTTTCATCTTTGTTCAAAGAAAGAACTTTATTTTCTGGTTCTAAGCGAGGGCTTTATATATCTTTGTGTTGACTTAAAATATGCGATGTTTATATAGGATCATAAGGCTGAGTTACGTGTTGATATTTGGAAGTGTAGCACCTCAGGAAGTATATATGGTAATATTCTATACTCTAGGAACATGCATGATATTTTGTTTAATTGCTTAAACCCTTTATATATTTTACTTAAAAACTAGTTAACCAATTTTTGTATGAAATTTGTTCATAATTTGTCAAGGTATACTGTACATAGAGAACTATTTATCTTAATAAACATGTAATAAAGAGAAAGCTTTCCCCTTCCCAATGAAGAAAAAAGTAAATCAATTCTGAAAGAAAGAGGAAAAAATTCTTGGGAAATTATGTTTATTGCTTGTATTCATGATGATATAATTGGATAAAACTTGTGAAATGGTTTTTGACTTAAAGGAGCATGGAAAAGTTTGGAAGATGTTTCTACACATCCATTAGAATATAAGGCAAAACAATTGTATACTGTAATAATAATATCTTGGCTTTGAATTTATTAAACATAAAGTTTCTCTTGCAGATAGAGTGCAGGTATCATATTCTCGCAGCAGTGGACCAGGTGGACAAAATGTCAACAAAATTAATACCAAAGTTGACCTGCGATTTCATGTGACAACAGCTGATTGGCTCTCACAGGAGCTGAAAGAAAGAATTGCTGAAAAGGTATGAAGCATTTAATTATGCATGATATTATGCAGTTATACATTTGAATGTAAATTTGCCAGTAGGCTGCAACTGGCTTCATAAAAAAACAATTATGCCTGCACCAGTGGTGTTGAATGAAATAACAAAACTACCAGGAACTCTTCAGATATACTCCAGTAAAATACTGAAGTATAAAAAGTATTTTATGTGGAACTAAGGTATTATATCTTTTGAGTCTCCATGATTCTGTGCATCATTCTAATCTCCAATTACAATCCAAAGAAAATAATTCTTTATTGTAAAATTTCAGGAACTATATATATATACTGTATACAGTGGTACCTCAGTTTTCGCATTTAATCCGTTCCCACAGACGGTACGAAAACCGGAACAAATTTTTCCATAAGAATTAACGTAAATTGAATTAATCTGTTCCACACCCCAAATATATTAGCTAAAAAATACATTTTATTCAAAATAATATTCTTGGGTACCTTATCTTTATTGAGGACTCTTGCTGGCATATGGAAGACAGTGAGGAAGAGGGGAGGAGGAGACGTGTTAGTTTTTGGAAGGGGAGTCCCCTTCCATTATAACAACAGTGATGACATTTCTGGGGTACTCTCTCTTACATTTTACAGGCATACCACTAGGACCTGATTGTGGCTCACTGCTTGCTTGTCTTACTGAGAATCTGTCTATAGACACTTGCTTTGCCCTACGTTTTAACACTTGTCTGTAGTGAGACATCACATTGTCTATGAATGAGTTCTTGTTTTTACTCTTATCGTCATCCTCACAACTATTTTCTTAGGTTCAACATTACCACTGACTTTCTTGGAACCCATGCCATGATATATATATAATAAGAACTTTTATGTTCAGAAACCAAAAAAGCACAAAACAATGAAATTCTTCACAAAAAATTCAAGTGCGATCATCACAAGGTGGGAAACACTGGTAAACTGAAGCGCCACACACTCGGTGAACAGACGCAACTCTGTGTATCTATGTATTTATGTCCGTAGGTTAGATTAGCATTTTAAAAGCGCTACAATCACCTTCTGTGGTTGTTCAATAAATCCCTGAACTATATGTTTAACAGATCTCTCACCCTGTCCATGGAGGACAGAAGAAAATGTATATATGCTGGTTAGCATTGTTAATGTGTGGCCACGTTTGTGGTAGAAAATAATAATAATGTAATAAAAAAACTCGGTGGACCCGAACATGTATAAACAAACTCCGAAACCAAGGCAAACAACGAGTACCGAATCAAATTTTTCGAAGAAATTGAGTACAATACAAAAACCGAAAAATACGAAAACGGACATACGAAAACCAAGGTTCAACTGTATTTTCTTGTTTTTTTTTTCTAGCATTTATATGGTCCTTATAGTGTTTCTTGACAGGTAGACATCAAGAAATTGCACTCTGTGTAATAAAAGATAATGTCCAGATACTTGGACCATAATCTGCTGGTTGCTGGTTTTCATCTGCTAACACCAAGTACTAGTACGGCCACTGACACAAAGTACGAGTACAATTTCTCCCAAAAATTCAATAAATGTCCTAACAGAAACCAAATACATACACCATGATGCCCTAATTAGCAGTATCAGATCTCAGTGGTCAGTGAATTTCAAAGAAATGATCTACCAAGCATGGGAGAGGATGACAGTTTCAGGATGTAGAGGAATGAAGAATTAAAAGAAATGCCAAGAAATATAGAAACATCACCAAAGGATATACTGACAGGCATTACCATCATGTCCAGTAATATGAGATCCTAACACAGTGGTTTCCAGGAAATAAACCACTTAACATTAGGTATGACACTCAGGAATGCCTTGGCTGACTCTTTAGGATATGCCTTTTGTTTGGCACTTCAAGGGATTGAGCATTTGGGAACCAGATTATTTTATATATATATATATATATATATATATATATATATATATATATATATATATATATATATATATATATATATATATATATATATATATATATATATATATATATATATATATATATATATATATATATATATATATATATAATATAATATAATATAATATAATATAATATATACTGTATTGTTATATTGAAATGAAGAGGTATTGATAAGACCTATTGGCCTATACGAGGCAGCTCCTATTTATATTTGCCCAAACTTATTCATAAATGTCTTAACCTTACGCGTGAAACAATCCATTGATCCCACGCCAATTATGTTACCCCGGAAATTTGTTCCATAAATAGTTGTGGTTTTCATGACAAAATGTCTTCACTCTTGGGTGATATGTCACACAATCCCAGAGACTTGATGCAGGGCTTTTTATCTGGCCACCTACAATTCTGGTTAATTTCTCAATAAGTTTTGTGTCTGCAAACAGGATTTTAGAGCTGTTTTAAAGTTAAGCATATCTTGCTTCATATATTCTATTATATTATATCATATATAATTCATATTATATCTTGTCATATATTCCATCAGTGTTTCTGTAAATTTATTTATATTTTTATATTTGATTATAATACCAATAACTTAGTAGGTAGGATATCGGCAACTTTTCTGTAAAATTCTTTACTTAGGCTTAACAAATGTTAGGGATACAGTCCCAGTATTTCATTCCATTAAATACTCTAGTTTTTTATAACTTAATAAAGAATTTTTGTATTAAATTTTGTTTGTTTAATGAAATTTATATAGTTGATATGGCAAGATCACTACTTTTTCTTATTTAAAATACTGTACTATAAAATAAAAATGTTTAATTATAAAATGGCATCTCTTAGAAAATACAGAAAATATCATGTGCCATAAAAATACAGCTGAAGAGTTAACCACGAAGCAAGAGCAGGAAGTATTTAGACATCTTATTAGTGATTTAAGTGTTGTATCAAATTCAACTATTTTAACTGGAAGGTTTTGAATTGAGAGAGTTCTGATTCTGAAGTCTGATTCATCAGATCAGAGCTGTTTTGCTCATCAAATAGTTGCAACACCCTTGTAAGATTGTCCCAGAGTAGCAAAATAATTAATTTCCTGTTAAAGTTATTTTTATTTTCAGTACAAGAGCCGTGTAACTGTTGATGGATATTTAGTCATACGATCAGATAAGACCCGATCACAGCAGCTGAACTTGGCTGATGCAATGGACAAACTGCGGCATATGATACATACAGCAGCTCATGTTCAAAAAATCCCACCTGCAGAAGCTGAGGAAAGAGCTCGTAGAAGGTAAGCATTATTTCCTGAAAATGGTTCATGATATCCAAGCTAGAGTGACACAGTGGATGATATGCATGTCTCTTGGTCAGTCATGTTAGGCACCATCAGTTCTGGCCAGTCCATGTATGTTAATCGCCTTGCACTTAGTCATGGGATGTTGATAAACTATATAGGCTACCTGTCCCTGACAATCACATACCAGTACAATATTCAAGTCTATTAATGTTATATATTAAGGTAACACTACCTCAGAGATGATTAGGTCTTTTAATGCTATACATTAGAGTAGCACTATCTCGGAGGTGTTTAGGACTAGTAATGGAAGAGGGCCAAATAGAAATAAATACAATAGGTCATATTTAAACAGAAGTTCACAAGCATGTTGACAATTTATACTAAATTGTCATTGTGGTACGGCTTGTCTTGATCTACATTAATACAGGTTACTGATAGTTCAGCATTTACAGCCTGATATGACATACTGTACAACTAAATGCAGACAATGACTCGCTTTGCTCTTTCGGCCCACCTCTCAACTGTCAATCAACTGTTTACTAACTACAGGGGTACTATTTTTTTTTCCCCCACACCACACACACACACACACCCCAGGAAGCAGCCCGTGACAGCTGACTAACTCCCAGGTACCTATTTACTGCTAGATAACGGGAGCATTTAGGGTGAAAGAAACTTTGCCCATTTGTTTCTGCCTGGTGCGGGAATCGAATCTGCGCCACAGAATTACGAGTCCTGCATGCTATCCACCAGGCTACCAGGCCCACATATGTGTGTGTGTGTGTGTGTGTGAAAATTAGGATTAAGGCCTTGCCCGAAATGCTATGCGTGCTAGTGGCTGTACAAGAATGTAAGAACTCTTGTATATACTGTATAAGAAAAAAAAAAATTGTGGCATTGAATGTCATTCCTATCAGTCAGTGACATTTAACAAGGACAAGTTTATCAGTGATTTTTCAGCGTCAACAGTGATAAATGTTTTGATGTGAGGCACACTCGATATACAGAACAGCTTGAAACAACCTAACAGCTTCTAATTACTTTCTAATCATCACACAAAGAGAATGCAAGGCCTAGGTTATCTACTCATCATGATCTATAGGTGATGGTAGATTAAACCAAGCTTACCCCAGTTGTCTATGAGGTAGTGTCATATGGTCTTCTAACCAATGCATCACATGTCCCTCTTAACTCATAATTCCACTTAATTGTTATATAGTAATTTTAGTATTATGTTCATATTGTTATATGTATAATGATGTCACGTTCCTTTTTTTATAAACTTTAAACAAACGTATGTGCTAGTCAACTAAAAAGTGCGCTTAACCAGCAGAAATTTAAACCACTACGTATCATACCATTCCACAGGCACGAAGCATCAGTTCGGGAGCGATTGCGCTATAAGAAAGCCCACTCTCTTATCAAGCAAGGAAGGCAGAACAATGAGTGTGACTGATGAGTTGTGTCGACCACTGTCCTCAAAGACAGTATTGGTGTACCTTCAACTGTCATCAGATTAAGCAGTTCCAGGAATGTACTGCATTATCTTTCACTGTATATTTGTATAGTTACATTAATAATGTATATCAGTATTTGTGGATACTTGTATCTATTTCACTAATCACATTGATAGAATACAAAAATTGAAAGACAATACTGCAATCATCCTAAAATATTCATGTTGAATGTCTTTGATAAATAGGCTGCAATAATCATAATGTTTATCAAGTTAATAATCATGCTAAATACTGTACAGCCATTTTTAATTATTTGTAATAAATAATTAAATTCACTGTTTTCCATTCTTTCCACACCAAGCTGTGAATTAAATTAACAAACAATTTTTAGCTTATTTTGCCCATATTTAAAAACAAAACAAAAAGTATTTGGGACACTTTGTGACTCAAAATTCATACTAGGGTTCCAGCAGAGTACATTAAGTATCCATCTCATCACAATACATGGTGTCATCATTTAATCTTACAGGATATGAATATGATTTGTGTTTGCATCAAAATCAGTGCTTTTTATCACTGTCCCTTAATGATTCATAACCTGATCTTTGTCAACCTTTAAGTGTTCAATTATTAACTATTGCAGTAAACCTTTGATAATAAAGTCAAACATTGGCATGTTTGAAGCTCTCCAGAAAAACATGTGTCAGGGGTGTAATTACGTAAACAAGAACAGCTTTATATGGGCTGGAAGACCTTCTGTGGTCTCCATTTGCTTTTCTTATTTTCTCCATCCAGAACTGCATTTATTTTCATGACTATGAAGCTGTCCCACATGTTGTCTACTTTATATTATAGTATATCAATTTCTCTTGGCTGAATACTTTTTTTCTTATATAAAGCTTAGAAATGCAGAAGCATCCTACCATGCTATTCCATATGAAAGATTACAGAGTATAGATCAAGAGTTAGCTATAAGTTCAACCAATAACCCAATCTCACAGGATGGCTAATCATATGTGGAATCAGAAAAAAACAAAAGATGTAAGTCTAATGTACTAACTAATCTGCACTAGCAAACTTTGGGTAGAGTATAAGAATATCTTTCAATAACTTTGAATCAAGATATTAGGTTTAGGTTTATATCAAACCTGTTTATATGAAAGCCAATATATTTGAAAATAAACAAATTTGTTATATATTCACAAAACCAGTAATATTTTAAGAGCTCTCTTGGCTAGGAATTTTATGGATTATATATGACTTCTTGCTCTCTTACCTATATAAATCCATATACACATCACAAGATAATTTCCACTGTTATTAGTATACCTCTTTTACACATCCAGCTGGCCAACTAATTTGATTATTCCAGAAGTAGTGACCCTCATGAATGGCTTGTAATATTTGATCCATATTAGGCATAAGCTTGAGCTATAATAATGAAATAAATAGTTAATAGAATGTGGCAGCGGAGAAAATAGACCACTCAACTTACAATTTTTGTGGAAAGAAATTCTGTAACTCAAATATGAACAAGATCTAGGGGTGGTTTTGGATAGTAAACTGTCAGAGGAACACATAAAGAGCATTGTAAGAGAAGCGTATGCATTGCCTTCAAACACTAGACTTAGTTTTAATTACATGGATGGTGAAATACTAAAGAAACTGTTCATGTCTTTTGTGAGACCAAAATTGGAATATGCAGCAGTTATGTGGTGTCCATATCTCAAGAAGCGCATAAATAAACTGGAAAAACTGCAAAGGCATGCTACAAATTATCTTCCGGAACTGAAAAAACAAGTTACGAGAAGAGGCTAGAGGCGTTAAATATGCCAAAACTAGAAGATAGAAGAAAACTAGGTGATATGATCACCACCACCAAATAATAACAGAAATCGACAAAATTGACAAAGAGGAATTCCTGAAACCAGCAACCTCAAGAACAAGAGGTCACAGATTCACACTAAGGAAACAAATGTACCAAAAATACATTAAAACATATTACACACACACAATCACAAATACTTGTTAGCAGTTGCCTAACTCCCAAGCACATATTTATGCTCCTAGGTAAACAGAGGTTACATGTGGAAGGAAGTGTTCCAAAACGTCTCATCCCGCCAACTGAAATCCGGGTCCACTTTGTTCTTTATTTTGGCAGTGTCTTTGTTCACTTTATTCCAATGTATCTTATAGATCATGTGATGATTCCTGATGATCCACGTATGATCCTTGTACCTGCTGGTAGAATATCAATTTTTTATAGTCATCACACAAATATTTTGTAATACTCTGTATGCATGTATAGAGAATGTAGTATAGTTACAGTCTATACATAATGAAAAATTACATTACTATTATAATAGCAGCCAGGAAAATATAAATTATGAGTATTTAGCAGTTTCAAGCCTCGAGATTTTTGTTATATATTGTCATATCTTATATATATCACATAAGTATGATGTTTAATCATACATGATATTTAAACATATATGATGATATGTAATCATTTATGATGATATATAATAATATATAATCACATATATTGATATGTAGTCACAACATTATATATAATTACACACTATAAAATACATATTATGATGCTATATACTGACACAAGAATGAATACTTGAGAAAGATCACCAGTTTAGGTCATAAACAAACAACAGGCAAAACATAAGAAGAGAGAGAAGACTGACATTTCTTAAAGCATAAGTGTGATAGATGCAAGATTGTTAAGTTGTGAGTAAGTTAATCAAAGTTACGTTACATTAGGTGGCCATTGTATGAGAGTAGTTGAGAGAGTTGCGTACTTTGGCGAATGATGAAATTAGGTCTTTAAATTAGTAAAGTCCTGGGTAAATACTGGTTTGAAAATCGGCGGGTTGTTGATTTATAGAACAAATTATAGAGTAACATGATGGACATGGGATTGCTGGATTGTTTCAAGCTTAGGTTAGACATACTGTATACATAAATGAGTATAGTGAATATAAATAGGGGCTGCCTCCCATGGGCCAATAGGCCTTATAGACCTATGTATGGAAGCTGCACAAGTCTTCATATACTGTATAGGGGTATTTACCATTTTATCAACATTTTACTGCATTTTACACATATGCTCTCTTTGTATACATATATATTTTTTTTAACTCCTAGGTGTCCTAGGAAAACTATGAAACATGTATCTCCTAAAGGAAGGCAACTTCACGCATAATTCCACATGTGTTAACGAGAGCTTACTATACCTGTATGTTATTTGAGTGGGAGAGTCGCACCGTATGTATATGAACATATAGTCTGATAACTGGCATTTAAAGAGAAACTTTAATGCCAATTTTAAGATGCCCTTGGGTTAAAAATACTGCTTTAATAGAGAATTTTGAATTGCCAGATATGTCTTAGCCATTTGCCTCTGATTAGTTTAATTAACCCCCAGTAAGTTTTGATTTGACTATAAGTTGTTTAAGAACTATACCTGTAGTATCAAAATTCGAATCAGACACTATTCATAACAACTTGTGCAAATCGTTACAATAATGACTGGACTAAATAGGTGTTCAGCTGTCTAAATTAAGCTTACATTTTTTAAACAATCGTGAGTAATATTTAGCTTATAATTCATAAGTTGATAGTAGAACACAAAGTGCAGTTTCCCATAAGAGCAGTGAGACAGATATTGGCACAATTCATATCACACAATTCAGATGACGAGAAGACGATTTGAAGAAGACCGGGCTTGAGCTTGTGAAAGAAGGAGAAAGGGCTTGAGGTTGTGAAAGTAGAAGAAAGGGCTTGAGCTCGTGAAAGAAGGACAATGGGCTTGAGCTTGTGAAAGAAGGACAATGGGCTTGAGCTTGTGAAAGAAGGACAATGGGCTTGAGCTTGTGAAAGAAGGAGAAAGGGCTTGAGCTTGTGAAAGAAGGACAATGGACTTGAGCTTGTGAAAGAAGGACAATGGGCTTGAGCTTGTGAAAGAAGGAGAAAGGGCTTGAGCTTGTGAAAGAAGGACAATGGGCTTGAGGTTGTGAAAAAAGGAGATTGGGCTTGAACTTGTGAAAGAAGGAAACTACCCAATGAGCAGAATATCCAAAAGTGGCGTTGGTTCGACTTTGAATCAATGTTATCAATGTTCATTCAACATTTCACCGACGTTAATTTTGAGTTGATATAGAGGATGTAGAATTAAAGCTTACTGAAATACTCACCCGACGTTAGTGGCAATTTTATGTCCTCGAAGCAGCTCTGCGTCGTTTTATATTTCGGGAACAACGATAAATTCCCACCAAAAGTACAATCCCAATGAGCGAACCACATATAGCTAGAGTAGTAGTTAATCCAGGGTCGTGTTTACGAGTAATCCCTATTGACGCCCGCGACCCCAAGCCTGCACCATTGATGGCCTGCATGGAGGTCAAAATAGGAGTTATTAATAAAGGAGATATTGCCACCTCCAGTGTAAATATTTGCACAATAACAGCTGTGTTAAGTAGGGTATTACTGCTATACTCTTGAAGGAATGTGCTATACATTATTAGGAATATTCTATGTACTTGTAAGAATGTTCTTTATGCATGCAGGAATGCGCTATACACTTGCAGAAATGTGTTATGCACTTATAATAAGGTGCTATACACATAATTGAGTTTGTTACACACATGCATGAGTCTGCAATACACTTATTGGAATGTACAATACACCTTTAGGAATGTCCTATACACTTGTAGGGATGTGCTATTCACTTGTTAGAATGTGCTATGCACTTGTTAGAATGTGCTATGCACTTGTTATCATGTGCTATGTATTTGTAGAGATGTGCAATGCATTTATTAGAAAGAGCTATACACTTAAAGGGATGTGTGATGCACCTATTAAAATGAGTTATACACTTGATATAATGTGCTATACACCTGTAGGAGTGCACGGTACAGTTAAAACATCAAAGAAGTTGTATAGGAAAAATATGTTTATATAAGACCTAAACTTAGACAGCTTATGAAAGGTTAACTCATAATGGGGACCATAAACCACGTTCATAACATTAATTCAGTGTTACTTGAGCATGTTTGGTTAACTGTGTCGTGGAATTTGTTTCCCTTATTATTGAACAAATTGTGTCGGCACTGATGTCATTGATGATGCTAGTAAAGTTAAAACTAAATTTATTGATGAAGCATTTGTTGTAGTTTGTTGTTCTGTTGGTGAACCTTTGTCCAGTGGGTGAATGTGCTTGAATAACCTCTGCAGAACCCGTTCTGATTTTGGCAATACTGAAGTGTTTATGGGATTATTTGATTTTTCTCAAGAGAAAGCTAGGTATTTTGACTTAAATGAATTGTGAGCTAGAAATTTTGACTTAAATGAATTGTGAGCTAGAAATTTTGACTTAAATGAATTGTGAGCTAGAAATTTTGACTTAAATGAATTGTGAGCTAGAAATTTTGACTTAAATGAATTGTGAGCTAGAAATTTTGACTTAAATGAATTGTGAGCTAGAAATTTTGACTTAAATGAATTGTGAGCTAGAAATTTTGACTTAAATGAATTGTGAGCTAGAAATTTTGACTTAAATGAATTGTGAGCTAGAAATTTTGACTTAAATGAATTGTGAGCTAGAAATTTTGACTTAAATGAATTGTGAGCTAGAAATTTTGACTTAAATGAATTGTGAGCTAGAAATTTTGACTTAAATGAATTGTGAGCTAGAAATTTTGACTTAAATGAATTGTGAGCTAGAAATTTTGACTTAAATGAATTGTGAGCTAGAAATTTTGACTTAAATGAATTGTGAGCTAGAAATTTTGACTTAAATGAATTGTGAGCTAGAAATTTTTACTTTATTGTAATGAGATGTTAGATATTTTTAGTTTTCTGGTGTGTAAGTGAGGTAATTTGAGTTTACTGAAATGTGTGCTGGGAATTCTGACCCTACTGTAATATGAACTAGATATTTTCACTATACTGAAGTGTGAGCTAGGTATTTTGAATTTACTGTGACTCCGACATCGCAAAATAATTATTACTCTGGAAGCTGAAATCAAGAGGTATTCGTAGACCAACAGGTCATTAGAAACCAATAGGTCATCAGAGACCAAGAGGTCATCAGAGATTATGAGGTCATCAGAGACCAACAGGTCATCAGAGACCATGAGGTCATCAGAGACCATGTGGTCATCAGAGACCAACAGATCATCAGAAACCAATAGGTCATCAGAGACCATGAGGTCATCAGAGACCAACAGGTCAACAGAAACCAACAGGTCATTAGAGACCAACAGGTCATCAGAGATGTCTCTGGATGCTCAATGTATGTTATTAATATATTTTGTTTGGGACAAGAAGCCTGTGTGTATATATACTTTAGGTTTGTATCGAGGTTCTCCCAATGTGGAATTACCGACCCTCCCCAGGATGCAACCCCACAACAGTTGCCTAACTCCCGGGTACCTATTTACTGCTTGGTGAACAGAGTTTTATCCCTGGGTGGAGAATAACTGGTTGTGCACGTTTCATGTCACCTAATGCTTCTGTTCACTTAGCAGTAAGTAGGTTCCCAGGAGTTAGGCAACTTGTGGGATTGCATGCTGGAAAAAGATTAGTAGTTTGATCTTGGGGAAGGGAGAATCGATACAGGACTAATTCATATCTATATTTACACAGGATTCCTGTCCCAGACAACGGGTAAAATTATTAGGATATTTCATTTACTCAAACTTACCATAATATTAACGCCATATGTATAACCAGGATCTATGTCTTCCATTGTATAAGCTCTATAATGAGGTTCAAGTTGAACTTGTCCGTCCAGCGCTTCACCAAGCTTTCCCCAGTTGAGCAGCCAGCCCTTCAGGACACCGTTGATGTGATCAGGAAGCGACCAACTTAAAGTTCTTGTTTTGTGAGTGGGGCTTGTGATGCTGAGGTTTGTCGGGGGGCTGGACTCTGTTTATAGCAAAGATGATATAACCTTTTTTTATCAGGAATGTGTTAGAATTTGTAGTTTACATATGAATTATTACATTTGTTATTTATAAAATGAAGCTGTTAATGAGAGCTTGATAGTATGTTAAATTATCACTGGGATTGACAGTCACTGAAAAGTCATTGCCAGTGAAGGTCACTGCCAGTGACAATCACTGTTCATAATGGTCAATGTTCATGACGGTCACTGTTTCTTACAGTCACTGCCTATGCCTGCGTCACACTCGGGTATATAGCCAGAAGTCCCACCCGGAAATTTCTCTCCTACTCAGGAATCAAATCCGGATCCCCGATTGTGAGTCAAGAACGAACCTAACTCAACAGTTTATGATGATCTTGATTTTTAACTGTGATCTGATCCTTTTTTACAGGTTAAACTTTGGTTTCTGAGATACACAAGGTTATAATAGTATGATAGTATCCCTTGTTGAGGATAGGAAACCTGTTATGGTTATTGAGATCCCCTACATCCCCCCCCCCCCATCGCCCCTCCCTAGGCCAAAAGACTGACCTTCACCAGGATGCAAACCACAACAGTCTACTAACTCACAGGTATCTATTTACTACGAGATGAACAGGTTCATCAGATGTAAGGAAATGTGTCCATACGAATCAACCAGACCGGGAGTCGAACCTGGGGACCAATCATGCTGTGATACGTCAATACCAATGCAGTATAATGCAATATATAAAAAAATAAGTAAAGAAGAGTGAAAACTAGAGCATAACATACGTGTCTGAGGCGTCACGACCGAACAGGATGGCGGTGTGCCCGTGACATTGTGCGCATCCACGAACACTGTCGCAGTGACGTTAGTGTACGGATCTACGCTGTGTATCAAGCTTCCGGTGTAGTTTCCCGTTTCGTTACTCCACAAGACCACCCAGCTCCAGGTGGCGAAGTAGTTGAAGCCCCAGGGGCACTCATCTCCTCCACCATGTTCAGTAACTTCCACTGTGGTTGAATGCCATATATGAATACTGCAGGAGTCTGGTTGCTTAGGTACTGCAGGAGAAATATGATGAGTCGCCCTGATCGATCTCTTTGGTTATCTGGCAATATAGTGACCCTCAGGTCAATTCAGGTCAATAGCTGAGTCATGCAACATTCACTCATTATTGCACTGAAGTTAGTCTCCATTATCATCCATTATGTAATAAATAAGGGATGAGGAATGGAGTAGAATAAAGCCTTTAAAATATTTTACAACAGGCTGAGAAGGGAAACTTTGACCTCATTGAGAACGTAATAATATTAGATCGTAATGACAGCATTGGATGACCCTATTATTAGTGTAGGCTGATGATATGTATATGAAAATCAACTGGAATCATGCAGAGGATTCGACCCTGTACCCTGGCTACTCGCAATCACACGTCAGTGTGATTTCTTTTGTGTGTAATATGCATATATTAACAGTGTAATTACTTTGTGTTGTAAACTAATTAATATAACACTATTAAAGGTGATATCAGTCTCCTTGGTGTAGTGGTTAGACACTCGCCTGGCGTTCCACGAGCGCTTAGTCATGGGTTCTTATCCTGGCCGGGGAGGATTTACTGGGCGAAAATCCTTAACTGTAGCCTCTATTTAACTCAACAGTAAAATGTGTACTTGGTTGTAAAAACGATTCTTCGCAGCGGGGATCGTATTCCAGGGACCTGCCCAAAACGCTACACGTACTAGTGGCTGTACAAGAATGTAACAACTCTTGTATAAATCTAAAAAAAATATATATATATATTGAATCAGTGTATGGTTAATACAATGATGTAAACATACTTGGCTGTAATCCTTCCACCGATGCTTACTGGATGGGTACTGAGTGCAGGAGAAAATTATAATTAAATGCAACTTGTTAACCAGAAATGCATATTGCTTATCTTAAAGATTATTTGGGTTTTGGGCCTGAGCTGATTATGTGATAAACATTTCCACCAATCCATTAGTGGCATTGTGTTCTTAATGAATTAATTAAACCCAATTTGTGTTTAATTAGTTCATTCATAATTAATACACAAACGTGTGTAATATTAATTATATATATAATAACACTAAGCTAAATGAACAAGAATGTAGAAGGTGATATTATTACGTGGTTGGTTTGGTGTGGCGTCAATGGAGGTATAACATTTCTCGTCGTCTCCGTAAAAGGACACTGCTAAAATCGTGTAGGTACAACAGCATCTCAAGTCTTCAAAGAGAACGAATGTGTTGCTTGTGTTCACATCTTTTCTACCGTAAATACTATAGGCAGCAACCGCATAGTATTGGGGTTCTACATCTGGTGGTTCCCAAGACACGTTGAGAGCGAAGTACCCCACCGGCATCGCCGTCAGGTTCCGCGGCGGACCGTAACCTGTAGGAGAACACACTATTAACAGATCAGGTCCAAGCTCTTAAACATGGCAGAGATGAGCTCAGGATCCTCCTCCATCACTTGATACCACGATTAGTCCTGTGAGCCAGGAGAGGTAATCATGAATGACAGGTAACATTCCCTACCTTTCTTAATAAGTGGCCCCAGCTAGGTGGTATCAGGTATGATCAAACTCACTGTCACAGGGACGAGGTTCCACACAACCTCTCACCCGTCGCTTGCTCCTAGGCAAACAGTCCTCTCAAGTAATACGTCTCATTTTGTACGCTATGGTCTCCAACGCACAAATTACAAAGTACTCTGAAAAGTAGCGGCTCACAAATATCCACATTTTCAATGCATCGGCAGGTTAGGTTAGGAGGGCTGCTTGGGTTTCGGCCATACGTTTCGGGTGAAGTTTGCACTTCATATTTTGTCAGTTGTGAATTGTCCCACGATAGAATTTTTGGTGAATCGGATACTTTTGATATCGTTCGCCTTGCGTTTCTGTTCTCGTATTTGGCATCTTTGGTGATATTTAGCGCCCTCTGATTATTTCGCGCATTTGATGGTGCGACATAGCCTTCCCGGTTTGGTGCCTTCTTTGATAATTACTTACTTTTGTCTGTTGTGGCAAATCAAGACAACAGGTTGCCTGATCAGCACAAGTGGGCCAAAAACTGACGCATCTTCCTAGAAAACATTTGACTCAAATGTCAAGATGAGTCCATTAAGCACATATGAAAATAAGAATTTGTGAAACTACAGAAGGCCTGTTGGCATAGTAGTCTACATTCTCGGCTCACAATTGAGGATTTAGAGTTCGATTTCCGGGTGGGACAGAAGGTGGCACATTTATTTTCACCTGATATGAAACATCAGAATTGCCTTTATAAGTTTGTGTAACTATTAATTCAGAACTTTATATGTCACATATGTCAGATCAATCTTGGAGTTTGCGGCTCCAACCTGGAATCCGTATCTAGTCAAGTACAAGACAAAGCTTGAGAAAATTCATAGATATGCCACCTCACTGGTACCACAACTACGAGGTATGAATTACGAGGAAACTCTACGCGAATTGAACTTCACGTCGCTGGAAAACATAAGTGTTAGTGGAGACATAATTACTACATAAAAAAATCTCAGATGACTTGATAGGGTACATAAACTTGCTTAGCTAAATGAATTGTGGAGTTCAGTCCCTGAGACCATTATGTGCCTCTGTAACCCTTTCCACTACCGCCCTCAAGATGGGTATGGGGGTGCATAATAATTGAACTAAACTAACTAAACACTGCCGTTTGGCATTCCTTTTCAATGGTCCGGTTTGACACGACGCCTGGCGCACATATGGCGCTGGGTTAATGGATTGTTGATAGATTTTGAACGTTTTCTGGCTGGTTCTCCCGGCGGGTGACGGTGTTCGGGGGCCGGCTTGGCCGAGAGGTGCCTGGAGTTGGTGGGTCTTGGTGGGCTCCTGGTGTGCTCTCAGACGTCGTGGGCGGCTGGCTTCTGCTCTGCCGGAGGGCACTGGATGACTTTTGCGATTTAGTTGGATTCGCGTTTTGAGTTTTGCTACCCAGTGTGGGGCGGGGCCGGTGCTTGTCACCCTGAAGGAGTTTCTGAGGTTCCCCAATCATCTGCGTTTATTTGCTGCGGGGCATACTAGTTTTTGGTGATACGCATCATTCGTTTTGCCATTAGGCTTTGCGATTAACCCTTTTTGGGTACGCCGTGGCACATCCGATCTCACGATCGTTGTCGCCCCTTAATTCACAACAATAATAACACGACGCTTGGTTGTCTGTTAGTCACATGCCACTGTAACATTCAAGCCAATAACCAAGCAATATATGGCATTATGTCCCCCCCTTACAACTGTAATCAACCACATCACCACAGTGGAGAACATCATTACCTACCAGAGATAGCGGGTATCATGTAAAACTTGGACTGTGGGTACCGGGTATAGGGTGCCATCCAAAGGCCATGTGACTTCCCTGGAACTCCTGGTCGTGATGGCTCGGGTCTACAGTCTTGACAGCTTGTGCCTTCTATTGTAAATTACTTACCCCTAGGTTCAGTGCTATTAAGTAGGTCGCAGTCTCTCAAGCAGTCATTGTCTGATGAGGCCAGAGATGGGATTATGGCAAAGCAATAACACTGAACCTAACAGAGAACAATGATGACTTGCCTTCGGTCTCACAAGGTCTGACATTTACATTGATCTGAAAATAATTGAAAAATTAATCATAAAACTTTTACATCTGAATTACATTCAAATATTTCAAAAACTGACAAATGAAAAATGTTCATTATTTCAACAACTCTATTCTACTTGAACATACACCGAGGCTGTCATGGTTTAAAGCCATACACTGAGGTTGTCATTGTTTAAAGCCATGAACTAATCCACACGTCAAGTCTCAAAATATTTTAGTATTTAAAATTTTTATACAAAAATATTTTTCCCACTATATGGTTATAGTATTGCATAAATTATAATTTTAGTGGTGATATATTTCTTACTATTTTCCACCAAAGAAAACAAAAAAAATTTCCACCATGCACAGAAGAATTTGACGTCATTTCTGCTGTCAGCCAGTGACAATGTGACGTCACTTGCTGATACTGTCAGCCAGTGACAATGTGACGTCACTTGCTGATACTGTCAGGCAGTGACAATGTGACGTCACTTGCTGATACTGTCAGCCAGTGACAATGTGACGTCACTTGCTGATACTGTCAGCCAGTGACAATGTGACGTCACTTGCTGATACTGTCAGGCAGTGACAATGTGACGTCACTTGCTGATACTGTCAGCCAGTGACAATGTGACGTCACTTGCTGATACTGTCAACCAGTGACAATGTGACGTCACTTGCTGATACTGTCAACCAGTGACAATGTGACGTCACTTGCTGATACTGTCAACCAGTGACAATGTGACGTCACTTGCTGATACTGTCAGGCAGTGACAATGTGACGTCACTTACTAAGCTATCAGCCATCCACAATAAGACGTCACTTACTGATGATGTCAGCCAGTGACAATGTGACACTTGCTGATGCTGTCAGCCCCTAATAATATCACCAGGAGACTGACATATGGAATGGGAAAGTACAAGGAAATGAGACCCTTCCTGAAAATGATATGGGAAATGTAACTCAGAGAGAAAACTGCAGGAAAATATTGACTTCTTCAGCAACAAATATTGGGAAGCAGTTGAAAAATTTGTCCCTTTACAAGTAGTGGACAATGAGAGGTCTTGCAATGGTTGAGCTGAAGCGAACTACATAAACACGAGGGCATGAAAAACTGCAAAAAACAGAAGATCAACAGAAAGCTTTAAATCAATTCGTCAATGGAAGAAGAGAAGTAATAAGGCAGTTTGGATCGAAAATGCAGATGAAACAAAGATCCAACACAAGCTGCTTCACAGCCACATCAAGAGGGGAAACATCAGATCAGTAACAGGTGATAAAAATGAGGACATGAGTCAACTCATAGAATGAGGATAACTTATAAGTGTATAACTTGGGGGAGATATATAGTACCAAACTAAATAGCTCAGAAGAATTGTGAGATTACCGGAGATAAGGTAAGTATGCATTTAATGGAACTAGACACAGCTAAGGCGGTGGAACAAGATAGGGTCTTACCTTGAGAGTCTATCTGGCCAGCACAAGGAGCAGAAGCCGTGTGCTGGCCACTCACATTAATATATCACAAGTCGCTGGAAGCAGGGGAACTGCCAGAAACTTAGAAATAGCTAATATGTTGACACTTTTAAAAATGGAAACAGAAAGGAGACAAAACTGCAGACCAGTGTGCCTTTTATGCATGTGATGGAAAAGACAATAAGAAAGAGGCTGATAGACAATCTGGAGAGGAGCATCTTCATAGCAACAGGAAGGGTTCATGGCTAACAAATTATGCCTCACAAATTTGAGCTAAATGACTGGAGGACAGAGATCAGTCAAAACAGGGCAAAGTGAACGGAGTGTACATTTCGTGGACTGTCAGAAATCCTTCGACGAAGTGCCCCACAGGAGACTGGTGCAAACAATGTAGAAACATGCAAGAATGACAAGAAATGTGCTTTAGTGGACTAAGGAGTACCGTTACAACAGAAAACAGAGATTCACATTGAGAGGAGAGACCTCACAGTGAATGGATATTACCAACGACGTCCCACAGGGGTTAGTGCTAGTTAGTTGTATTCCTAATAAATGGGAATGACTTACCAGAAGGAATAGCCTACTTTCCTCATTGAATCAGACAGAAAAACCTATTTAGACGTCATGGTTCCAAAAATTTGTAATAAATTGCAATAGACACTAAGTTACAGAGATGATTTTTGAAATGCGTATACAGAAGGGAAACTTCCGAGTGAAGAATTGTGGCGAATCAGAAGGGGAAGCAGAGAAGGGGCACCTACATGAAGGGCCCCACTGATGGGGACAAAGAGCTAGTGTTGTGCGTGTCCATAACTTCACGGACCAGGCTAAAGGAGTGGATCTAAATGATCTAAAAGAATGGTTCACTTTTGGAAGCTTTTGCCACCTCCCTCGTTACTAACCTCCCTTCATTAACTACTAGTCTGACTGAGACTAGTAGACTAGTAGTAGTACTTCTGATGCTCTGCTTCTCTATACTTTTACTTTCATAACGTCCTCATCTACTTCCACCACTTCGTTACTGAACACTCTACCACATGCATAAAAATTCCGCCTTTCCCTCTCGTCCCACTCCTGTCTCCTCCTATTCCACTTTGTCTTTATCTTCAGTCTCCTAACACTGCCCACCATTCTTCTTTTCACGAACCTCTTCTTCCTGCCCTGCAGTGCATTCTCTCCCTTGTACTTTCACTTTCTCTTCCCTCGTTTTCTACTGCTTCTCCCCTTATTCTTCCTCTTTCATCATGTTTCTCCTCCCCACCCTGTACTTCCTCACCGCGAGCGTGACTGACCTGGGCAGCAACAGTCAACACCAGGACACCAAGCTGCAGTACACACGCACACCAGCACCGCATAGTGGTGTCCCTGGCTGTGGTGCTGCTGGCTGTGGTGCTGCTGGCTGTGGTGTTCCTGGCTGTGGTGTTCCTGGCTGTGGTGTTCCTGGCTGTGGCGTTCCTGGCTGTGGCGTTCCTGGCTGTAGAACTGCTGGCTGTGAGGAAGGACTGTTGTACAGGACTGGCCGTGGGTGCCAATATCACGCAGTGGGTGATATTGCGTGTACCGTGTGGCTATCTTATCTGACGTTGAATTGCTCTTGATAAATAAACCTTCACCAGCCATTACCAAAACAAACAATATATCAAATAGATATACACTAATGCATTTAGTCTTGTCACAAGCTCTCGACACCTTCTGAGGCAGAGGAGAAATGGATAAAAATGAATTGAAGCTGCGGGATATTTATCCGTGTATTATTCTGTGAAGTGAGATGTTTTCCAGTCCATGTTGACTGTGGCAGTAGATAGGGTTGAGGGCAGGATATTTAGCCTTAGTGGCGAGGATGGTAGGATACACCTACGTGTAATTTGGATGCTAATAGTTGACTGCTTAACAAGTAGTGTTTGGCATATAGTGCTCTGTTAAGCCAATTTTTTTTTTTATATTCGTTGTAACTGTCGATTATTTCAGTGCTATTGGTCAAGTAAGCTTAAGTGATATTTCTTAAGGGATGTCTCTGGCGATGGTCTGGGTGTGTATAGAAATTTTGCTTTCTTTGATAAAGTCTTGTTGTTTGTGCATTGTTAGACGCCTTGCAAGAGATATTGTTGTCTTGCTTATATATTGATATCGTTGGGACTGTCAGTTCCCAAGTAGGCATTTAAGGCATAAACGACATTCGTCTCTTTCAAAGCGCTTCGTCTGGTGTCGGCAGAGTTCTTCATGCACAAGTTTGCAGTCTTCTTGTTGCTGTAATAAAAGGCCTCCGAAGATGTTGAGATCTTCAGCGAAACTCATCATTTAGCAACAGGAGAATAAAATTGCAAAATAAACCGTGTAGCTCGTTTTTCAACTTTATTTTCAAGTAATGAATAATGCAAGAAATATAGATTGGATTCATACTAGAATCATTTGACTTAACCCCTTTCAAATTTATAAATTTTAATGGACGAGGTGTGTCACTAAAGGATGTGTTGCAGGGAAGCATTTTTAACACAATTGTAAGCAGAAAAGGTATAATTTAATACAAATTGAGAGTAGTGGCATTTATCTTTATCTTAGATAAAAAGAGATGTGTGTTACCCAGTCTAGGGGAATGAGTAATATTGCCCTACATTTGTATTGGTCGAGTGGTGTAAACTGATAGTTTTATCTTAGTGGTTTAGATGGTATGGCATACCTAAAGTGAAAGCTGGTTGATGTGATCTTTGACAGCCCTTTTTTGTTTCTATACTGTCCAGTATAGAGAAGTTGTCGTCTTGCCTGTATATTGAGATCGCTGGAGGAAATTTTTCCATCTTCCAGGAAAGGCAAGATTAAACCAGCTTTTTTGCTAATCCTAGAAAACTCATTTATTTATTTTGCCAGTCCTTATATACTTCTCACAATACAAAGTTCAGTATTAAGAGTCCCGGTAGTACCAGTCGGGTTCGTGCTCGACACATAATCAAGAATTCTGGGTTCGAAACCCGGGCTGGACAGAAATGGTTGGGCACATTTCTTTTCACCTTATGCCTCTGTTCACTTAGCAGTAAGTAGGTATTCAGGAGTTACTCAGCTTGTTGTGGGGTTGCATCCTGGGCGGGATTAGTAATTCGGCCTGGGGTGGACCTCGATTAAAGCCTAACGTGTATGAATACACACTGGCTTCCTGTCCCCCGACACAATGAATTATTATAATATAATATATAACAGAGCAATATATATATATAGTTGGCTGCATGGGACTACATTTGTAATAGAAGATGTTCCTGCACAAGCTACATATCAAGGCTAAAATATATACTGTATACTTATAATAGAAAATGTCTCTGTTTAAAGTTGGAAGTCAGACGCATTGTCCCGGGGTCCTGAAGCACTTCAAGACCCCGGGCCAATGCAGAAGCTGGACCGAATGACTGCAACAGGAACGGAAGCCACCGGATCTCCTCCACCATGTTCAGTAACTTCCACTGTGGTTGAATGCCATATATGAATACTGCAGGAGTCTGGTTGCTTAGGTACTGCAGGAGAAATATGATGAGTCGCCCTGATCGATCTCTTTGGTTATCTGGCAATATAGTGACCCTCAGGTCAATTCAGGTCAATAACTGAGTCATGCAACATTCATTCATTATTGCACTGAAGTTAGTCTCTATTCCCATACATTATTGTAATAATTAACGGATGAGAATGGAGTAGAATAAAGCCTTTAAAATGTTTTGCAACATAGGCTGAGAAGGGAGACTTTAACCTCATTGCGAACGTAATAATATTAGATCATAATGAAATAGCATTGGATGACCCTATTATTAGTGTAGGCTGATGATATGCATATAAAAATCAACTGGAATCATGCAGAGGATTCGACCCTGTACCCTGGCTACTCCCAATCTCACGTCAGTGTGATTTCTTTTGTGTGTAATATGCATATATTAACACTAATTACTTTGTTTTGTAAATTAATGCATATAAAACTATTAAAGGTGATATATTGATTCAGTGTATGGTTAATACATGGATGTAAACATGACTAATCCTTCCGCCCATGCTTACTGGATGGGTGCTGAGTGCAGGAGAAAATTATTATTATATGCAACAAGTTAACCAGAAATGCATATTGCTTATCTTAAAGATTATTTAGGTTGTGTGTTTGAGCTGATTATGTGATAAATATTTCCACCAATCCATTAGTGGCATTGTGTCCTTAATGAATTAATTAAACCCAACTTGTGTTTAATTAGTTCATTCATAATTAATACACAAACTTGTGAAGTATTAATTATATATATAATAACTAAGCTAAATGGACAAGAATATAGAAGGTGAGATTATTACGTGGTTGGCTTGGTGTAATGTCAATGAAGGCTTGACATTTCTTGCCGTCTCCATAAATGGACACTGCAATAATCGTATAGCTACAACAGCATCTCAAGTCTTCAAAGTGAACGAATGTGTTGCTCGTGTTCACACGTTGTTCATCATAGCCACTATAGGCATGAATCGAATAGTATTGGGGTTCTACATCTGGTGGTTCCCAAGACACGTTGAGAGCGAAGTACCCCACCGGCGTCGCCGTCAGGTTCCGCGGCGGACCGTAACCTGTAGGAGAACACACTATTAACACATTACGTCGAGGCTCCTAAACATAGCAGAGATGGGCTTGGGGGTCCTCCTCCATCACATGATACCATGATTAGTCCCGTGAGCCAAGAGAGGTTATCATGAATGACATAGGTAACATTCCCTTCCTTTCTTTATAAGTAGCTCCAGGTGGTATCTGGTATGCTCAAACTCGCTGACACAGGGACCAGGTTCTGTCATGACCTCGCGATCAACAGCATCACTGGCCAACAACAGCCTGGCCCAAGTTTCAATATGTGCTTAGGGTAAAGTGGAAAAGGCTAATAAAACAACTCGTGTTTACTGGAACATATAAAATAGGTCACTGTAAAACAATAAGAAGCTAAAATTCTCTACAATTAATACTCTAATCACAACAAGGAACCTAAACACAGCAATCGAAATCATTAACTGCACACACTCAAGACTAGCCGACACAGCCTCCAACCCGGCGCAGTGGTACACTAACCCAAGTAAGTAAGTAATTATCAAAAGAAGGCACCAAACCGGGAAGGCTATGTAGCACCATGAAATGTGCGGGATAATCAGAGGGCGCTAAATATCACCAAGGATGCCAATACGAGAACAAACGCGTAAGGCGAACGATATCACAAGTATTCGAGTCGCCAAGAATTCCATCGAGGGACAGTCGGAAAACAAGACACACTCGTTTTGGAAGTCAGGGCATTCAACAAGGATATGCACGACAGGGGCCTCGTAGCCTGGTGGATAGCGCGCAGGACTCGTAGTTCTGTGGCGCGGGTTCGATTCCCGCACGAGGCAGAAACAAATGGGCAAACAAAGTTTCTTTCACCCTGAATGCCCCTGTTACCTAGCAGTAAATAGGTACCTGGGTGTTAGTCAGCTGTCACGGGCTGCTTCCTGGGGGTGGAGGCCTGGTCGAGGACCGGGCCGCGGGGACTTCGGGGCACTAAAGCCCCGAAATCATCTCAAGATAACCTCAAGATAACCGTAAGAGGGACAATGCAATTTGGACAATAAGGAGCAGGGGGGGCGCTCCATTAAGTGACCGCCAGTTAAACGGGTATGGCCAATACATAACCTAGCCAGAGCCGTTTCCCACCACCGGTTACGGTAGTAGGAGGAAGGCCACTGGGACACACGACTCTTAAGAGTACGCAGTTTGTTACCAATAAGAGAAGACCAACAACTCTGCCAGGAGGCAAGGATGGAGGCATGAATAACTGGATAAAAGTCGGAATAAGGAATACCTTTACGGGAGATGGACAAGAGCGGATAGCTTCCTTAGCAGCAGCATCCACAGGCTCATTTAAAGACACACCTACATGGCTGGGAACCCAGCATAACTCAACCGACTTAAATTTACTGGAGATAAAAATAAGTCAATGTTGAATCTCGAGGACCACTGGGTGGACCGGATTAAAGGACCCTAAAGCCATGAGGGCACTACGAGAGTCAACTACCACCACAAAGGAGGATTGACACCGGGAAAGCAGGAGACGAAGAGCATAGAGAATAGCATAAAGTTCTGCTGTGAAGATGCTAGCCTCTGGAGGAAGGCGACACATAAGTGTGGTCAGGAAAAACAACAGAGTAGCCCACACTGTCAACAGACTTAGACCCATCGGTGAAGATGGGAACGGAGTGGGAGTGTGAAGAAAAGTGCTCAAGGAAGAGGCGTTTCAGAACTAGAAGGGGGTAAAAGCTTTATTGATGCAGGTCAGAGAAGTACAAAATTTGGGAAGGGGGGACCCTCCATGGGGGCAAGGATGGAACAATACGAGGAGAAACATTGGTAATACGAACCGAAAGAGAATCTTGTAAGCGAGACAAACGGACAGAAAGAGGAAGGTAGTGAAGAGGAACTACAGGAGGGGTAAAAGTCAAAGCACGATAGAGGCGAGAGTGAGGATGCTGTAAGGATCGCGCAAGATAACGAAGACAGTAGCGATCACGGCGGTCCTGGAGAAACAGGAAGCCAGTGTCAGCATACAAGCTGAGGGCGGGAGTTGAACAAAAAGCACCAGACCTGAGGCACAACCCAGTATGGGGCAAAGGATCAAGACGGCGAAGAGTAGAAGGAGAAGCAGAAGAGTATGCAGGGCAACCATAATCGAGTTTAGACAGGACGAGAGAGGAATGCAACGAGAGGAGCGTGCGCCTGTCCGCTCCCCAAGAAGTATGGAACAAAACCTTAAGTAGGTTAAGGGCCTTAGAGCATTCAACACGGAGGTAAGAGACATGGGGCGACCAAGACAAACGAGTGTCAAAGAATAACCCCAAAAGCTTCGTGGAATCTTTGTACTCAAGGGGATGACCATAAAGTGACAAAGAGGGACGATGAACGACCCACTTCAGAGTAAAAGTCACGGCACAAGTCTTAGTAGTAGAGAACTTTAAGCATTGATTGGTGGCCCAAGATGACACGGCATCAATCGCAAGTTGAAGCCGCCGTTGGAGAGGCGAATCATCACCGACAACAAAGAGTAAGACCATCAACATAAAGAGCGGAGAAGATGCCAGAAAGAAGGAAAGAAGACCACTGAGGGCAACCAGAAAAAGAGTAGTGCTCAGAACACTACCTTGGGGTACACCTTCATACTGCCAAAAAGAGGCAGAGAGAATGGTACCAAGCCTGACTCGAAAGGTGAGAGAGAAAGCTTTGAAGGAAGAGAGGGAGATAACCACGAAGGTCAAATGAACGAAGTTGGGACAGAATATGGTATCTCCAAGTCGTGTCATAAGCCTTTTCCAGGTCAAAAAGGACAGCAACAACGGAGGTCTTCGCAGCAAAAGTAGTACGAGTATAGACCTCCAAGTTCACCAGGACATCAGTCGTGCTGCGGAACTTGTGAAAACCAAATTGAGAAGGAGAAAGGTGGTGATGGTGTTCCAAGAACCACATCAGACGAACATTTACCATACGCTCAAAGAGCTTACAGACAACTCGTGAGAGCAATACGGCGGAAATCCTTAGGGGGACGTACCGAGAGACCCGGGTTTCCGAATAGGGAGTACAACGGCATCGAGCCAGTCCTCAGGGATGGACGACGACTCCCAGAGCAAGTTATACAGACTCAGTTAATACCGAGACGTACACGGAGGGAGATGGCGAAGCATCTCATAATGAACGTCATCTGAGCCCGCTGCTGTAGATCCGCAGAGGGCCCGGGCAGACTGAAGTTCAGAAAGAGAGAAAGGATCATTATAGGGAAGGCAGAGATGAGTGTGGAAATCTAAAGGATAAGATCCAAGAACAGGCTTACGAAGAAGGAAGGATTGAGGATGATTAGAAACAGAGCGAACAGTAGAAAACCAATCGCTTGGTCCTGGCCAAACAGTCCTCTCAAGTAATAAGTCTCATTTTGTATGCTAAGGTCCCCAACGTACAAAGTACTATGAAAAGTAGCAGCTCACAAATATCCACGTTTTCTATGCATCGCACACGGGTACTGCAGGAGTCTGGTTTCTTAGGTACTGCGGGAGAATTATGCTCGATCTCATTAGTTATCTGGCAATATAGTGACCCTCTGGTTAATTCAGGTCAATAACTGGGTCATGCAACATGTACTCATTATTGCACTGAAGTTAGTCTCCATTATCATCCATTATTGTAATAATTAACGGATGAAAATGGAGTAGAATAAAGCCTTTAAAATGTTTTGCAACATAGGCTGAGAAGGGAGACTTTAACCTCATTATTGAGAACATAATAATATTAGATCATAATGAAATAGCATTGGATGACCCTATTATAAGTGTAGACTGATGATATGTATATGAAAATCAACTGGAATCGTGCAGAGGATTCGAACCAGTACCCTGGGTACTCTCAATCACACGTCAGTGTGATTTCGTTTGTGCATAATATGCATATATTAACACTGTAATTACTTTGTTTTGTAAAATAATGCATATAAAACTATTAAAGGTGATACATTGATTCAGTGTATGGTTAATACATGGATGTAAACATGACTAATCCTTCCGCCCATGCTTACTGGATGGGTGCTGAGTGCAGGAGAAAATTATTATTATATGCAACTAGTTAACCACAAATGCATATTGCTTATCTTAAAGATATTTAGGTTGTGTGTTTGAGCTGATTATGTGATAAATATTTCCACCAATCCATTAGTGGCATTGTGTCCTTAATGAATTAATTAAACCCAACTTGTGTTTAATTAGTTCATTCATAATTAATACTACACAAACTTGTGAAGTATTAATTATATATATAATAACTCTAAGCTAAATGAAAAGGAACATAGAAGGTGAGATTATTACGTGGTTGGTTCGGTGTGGCGTCAATGGTGGTATAACATTTCTCGTCGTCTCCGTAAACGGACCCTGCATAAATCGTGTAGGTACAACAGCATGTCAAGTTTTCTAGGAGAACGAATGTGTTGCTCGTGTTTACATCTTTTCTATCAAGGAGATTATCTGCAATAATCGCATAGTATTGGGGTTCTACATCTGGTGGTTCCCAAGACACGTTGAGAGCGAAGTACCCCACCGGCGTCGCCGTCAGGTTCCGCGGCGGACCGTAACCTGTAGGAGAACACACTATTAACACATTACGTCGAGGCTCTTAAACATGTCAGAGATGGGCTTGGGGGTCCTCCTCCATCACATAATACCATGATTAGTCCCGTGAGCCAGGAGAGGCTATCATGAATGACATAGGTAACATTCCCCACGTTAATAAGTGGCCCCAGCTAGGTGGTATCAGGTATGACCAAACTCACTGACACAGGGACGAGGTTCCATACAGCCTCTCGTCCCTCGCTTGCTCCTGAGCAAACAGTTCTCTCAAGTAATACGTCTTATTTTGAATTCTATGGTCCCAAACGATCAAAGTACTATGAAAAGTAGCGGCTCACAAATATCCACGTTTTCTATGCATCGGTAGGTTAGGTTAGGTGGGCTGCTTGGGTTCATACGTTTTGGGTGAAGTTTGCACTTCATATTTTGTCTGTTGTGGTAAATCAAGACAACAGGTTGCCTGATCAGCACAAGTTGGCCAAAAACTGACGCTTCTTCCTTGAATACATTTGACTCAAATGTCAAGATGAGCCCATTAATTAAGAACATTAAAAACATAAGAAAATAAGAATGTGCGAAACTACAGAAGGCCTGTTGGCATAGTAGTCTACATTCTCGGCTCACAACTGAGGATTTAGAGTTCGATTTCCGGGTGGGACAGAAGGTGGCACATTTATTTTCACCTGATGTGAAACATCAGAACTGCCTTTATAAGTTTGTGTAAGGAATAATTTAGAACCTTATATGCCACGTACGTGAGATCAATCTTGGAGTATGCGGCTCCAGCCTGGAGTCCGTATCTAGTCAAGCACAAGACAAAGATTGGGGAAGATTCAAAGCTATGCCACCTCACTGGTACCACAACTACGAGGTACGAGATACGAGGAAACTACACGAATTGAACCTCACCTCACTGGAAAACATCAGTGTTAATGGAAACATAATTACCACATGCAAAATTCTCAGATAAATTGATAGGGTACATAAAGACACACTATTTAGCACGGGTGGTACTCTTGCAAATAGACATAAGAGGAAATTGAATACCAAAATGAGCAGCAGACACTAGAAATATTTTTTTTTCAGTGTCAAGAGTAGTTAACAAAAGAAGTGCAGTAGGAAGTGATATGGTGGAGACAGACTCCACACCAAGTTTCAACTGTAGACATGAAATTTGACTCACACCAAACGTCTGGCCTCCAGCTTTACACTCAGATAAACAGATATTACTCTCTTGTAGTATAGATATGTGTGTGTGTGTGTGTGTCATGTTCAGAGCGTGTTGCTGCCCATTTGCATGCAGCTGCGTTTCATACGTTAGCTATGTAAAGAGAGAGAGCCGGATGCCCACCACGTTTGGTTGTCTGTTAGTCACGTGCCAGTGTAACATTCAAGCCAATAACCAAGCAATATATGGCATTATGTCCCCCTTACTACTGTAATCAACCACATCACCACAGTGGAGAACATCATTACCTACCATAGAGATAGCGGGTATCGTGTAAAACTTGGACTGTGGGTACCGGGTATAGGGTGCCATCCAAAGGCCATGTGACTTCCCTGGAACTCCTGGTCGTGAAGGCTCGGGTCTACAGTCTTGACAGCTTGGGCCTTCTATTGTAAATTACTTACCCATAGGTTCAGTGCTATTAAGTAGGTCGCAGTCTCTCAAGCAGTCATTGTCTGATGAGGCCAGAGATGGGATTATGGCAAAGCAATAACACTGAACCTAACAGAGAACAATGATGACTTGCCTTCGGTCTCACAAGATCTGACATTTACAGTGGCCTGAAAATAGCGAAAAAATTAATTATAAAACTTTTAAATTAGAATTGTATTCAAATATTTCAGAAACTGACGAATGAAAAAGTTTATTATTTCAACAACTCTATTCTACTTGAACATACACCGAGGCTGTTATGGTTTAAAGCCATACACTAAGGTTGTCATTGTTTAAAAATATAAAGTAAACCACACATCAAGTCTCAAAATATTTTAATATTGAAAATTTTTATACAAAAATATTTTTCCCACTAAATGGTAATACTGAAGTTTAAGTATTGCACAAACTACAATTTTAGTGGTGATATATTTCTTACCATTTTCCACCAACGAAAACTTTACAAGCACAGAAGAATTTGACGTTATTTAGCTGCTTCTGTTAGCCAGTGACAATGTGACGTCACTTGCTGATACTGTCAACCAGTGACAATGTGACGTCACTTGCTGATACTGTCAACCAGTGACAATGTGACGTCACTTGCTGATACTGTCAACCAGTGACAATGTGACGTCACTTGCTGATACTGTCAACCAGTGACAATGTGACGTCACTTGCTGATACACGTCACTTGCTGATACTGACAGTGAATGTGACGTCACTTGCTGATACTGTTGACAAGTGTGACGTCACTTGCTGATACTGTCAACCAGTGACAATGTGACGTCACTTGCTGATACTGTCAACCAGTGACAATGTGAACTGTCAACCAGTATGATGTTGTCAGCCCCTAATAATATCACCAGGAGACTGACATACCAAATGGGAGAGTACAAGGAAATAAGACCCTTCCTGATAATGATATGGGAAAGGTAACTCTGAGGGAAGACTACAGGAAAATATTAACTTCTTCAATAAGATATGTTGGGAAGCAGTTGACAAATTTTTCCCTCAACAAGTAGTGGACAATGAGAGGTTTAGCCATGGTTAAATTAAGGGTACTGAAACGAAGTACATAAACATGAGGGCATGAAAAAAACTGCAAAAAGAGAAGATCGACAGAGAACAAAGAGCTTTAAATCAGTTCGTCAAGGGGAGAAGAGAAGCAGTAAGGCAGTTTGGATCGAAAATGCAGATGAAGCAAAAATCCAACCCACGCTATCTCACAGCCACATCAAGAGGGGAAACATCAGATCAGTAACAGGTGATTAAAATGAGGACAGAAGTCAACTCATAGAATGAGGATAACGGATAAGTGTATGAGGAACTCAACTGGAGATTTTGAGTCTTTGCAATAGAATAATGAAAAGTTCTTAAACTGAGGGAGATAGTACCAAACTAAGTAGCTCAGAAGATACTCCGTTGAGATTACCGGAAATGAGGTAAGTATGCATTTAATGGAACTAGGCACAGCTAAGGCGGTGGAACAAGAATGGATCTTTCATTGAGATCCTATCTGGCTATCACAAAGGGTCCATATTGCCAGCACATGGAGCAGAATCCTTGTGCTGGCCACTCACATTAATAAATAACAAGTCACTGGAAACAGGAGAACTGCCAGAAACTTAGAAATTGCAAGTATGCTGACAATTTTTCAAAATGGGAAACAGACAGGGGACAAAACTGCAGTTCTGTGTACCTTTTATGCATGTGATGGAAAAGTCAATAAAAAAGAGGTAGATAGACAATCTGAAGAGGAACATCTTTATAGCAACAGGAAGGGTTCATGGCTAACAAATTATGCCTCAAAGATTTGAGCTCTATGACTGGACGACAGAGATCAGCCAAACCAGGGCAAGGTGAGCGAAGTGGACATTTCTTAGACTGTCAGAAATTCTTTGACACAGTGACCCACAGGAGACTAATACAAACAATGTAGAAACATGCAAGAATGACAGGAAATGTGCTTTAGGGGATTACAGAAGAGAAAACAGAGAATCACAATGAGAGGAGAGACCTCACAGTGACAGGATATTACCAACGACGTCCCACAGGGGTTAGTGCTAGTTAGTCCTATTCCTAATAAATGGGAATGACTTACATTTGTCATTCAAATGTAGGATAGGCTATTCCAGGAATAGCCTACTTTCCTCATTGAATCAGACAGAAAAACGTCATGGTTCCAAAATTTGTAATGAACCACAATAGACACTAAGTTACAGAGATGATTTTTGACATGCGTATACAGAAGGGAAATTTTGAAGAAGGTGAAGAATTGTAGCGAATCAGAACAGGGGAGAAGGGGCACCTACATGAAGGGCCCCACTGATGGGGACAAAGCTAGTGTTGTGCGTGTCCATAACTTCACTGACCAGGCTAAAGGAGTGGATCTAAATGATCTAAAAGAATGGTTCACTTTTGGAAGCTTTTGCCACCTCCCTCGTTACTAACCTCGCTTCATTAACTACTAGTCTGACTGAGACTAGTAGACTAGTAGTAGTACTTCTGATGCTCTGCTTCCCTATACTTTTACTTTCATGATGTCCTCTTCTACATCCACTACTCCGTTACCAAACACTCTACCACATACAGCAAAATTCAGCCTTTTTTTTCGCCCCATTCCTCTGTCTCCTCCTATTCCACTTTGTCTTTATCTTCAGTCTCCTCACACTGGCATGTCCCACCATTCTTCGCTTCACGAATCTCCTCTTCCTATCCTTGTCTTCTTTCATTATATTCTCTCCCTTATGCTTTCACTCTCTTTTCTCTCGTTTTCTACTGCTTCTTCCCTTTATTCTTCCTCTTTCATCATGTTTCTCCTCCCCACCCTGTACTTCCTCACGGCGAGCGTGACTGACCTGGGCAGCAACAGTCAACACCAGGACACCAAGCTGCAGTACACGCGCACACCAGCACAGCATAGTGGTGTCCCTGGCTGTGGTGCTGCTGGCTGTGGTGCTGCTGGCTGTGGTGCTGGCTGGCTGTGGTGCTGGCTGTGGTGCTGCTGGCTGTGGTGTTCCTGGCTGTGGTGCTGCTGGCTGTGGTGTTCCTGGCTGTGGTGTTCCTGGCTGTGGTGTTCCTGGCTGTGGAGCAGCTGGCTGTGAGGAAGGACTGTTGTACAGGACTGGCCGTGGGTGCCAATATCGCGCAGTGGGTGATATTGCGTGTACCGTGTGGCTATCTTATCTGACGTTGAATTGCTCATGATAAGTAAACCTTCACCAGCCATTACCAATACAAACAATATATCAAATTGATATACACTAATGCATTTAGTTGAGGCAAAGGAGAAATGGATAAAAATGGATTGAAACTACCGGATATATAATTGTGTAGGATTCTGTGAAGTGAGATGTTTCCCAGTCCATGTTGACTGTGGCAGTAGATGGGGTTGAGGGCAGGATATTTAGCCTTAGTGGTGAGGATGGTAGGATACACCCACGTATAATCTGGATGGTAATAGTTGACTGCTTAACAAGTAGTGTTTGGCATATAGTGCTCTGCTATGTCAAATCTTTGATATTCGTTGTAACTGTCGATTATTTCGTGGTTTTTTTTTTCCAGATATCTCTGGCGATGGTCTGTGTGTGTGTAGAAATTTTGCTTTCTTTGATAGAGCTCTGTTGTTTGTGCATTGTTAGACGCCTTGCAAGAGATATTGTTGTCTTGCTTATATATTGAGATCGTTGGGACTGTCAGTTCCCAAGTAGGCATTTAAAGGCATAAACGACATTCGTCTCTTTCAAAGCGCTTCGTCTGGTGTCGGCAGAGTTCTTCATGCACAAGTTTGCAGTCTTCTTGTTGCTGTAGTAAAATGCCTCCGAAGATGTTGAGATCTTCAGCGAAACTCATCATTTAGCAACAGGCCAATAAAATTGCAAAATAAACCGTGTAGCTCGTTTTTCAACTTTATTTCCAATTAATGAATAATGCAAGAAATAAAAAGAGGATTCATACTAGAATCATTTGACTTAACCCCTTTTCAAATTTTAAAATTTTAATGGTCAGGTGCGTGTCACTAAAGGATGTGCTGCAGGGATTAATTTTTAACATATTTGGAAGCAGAAATGTTATAATTTAATACAAATGGAGAGTAATGGCATTTATAATCCATCTTGGATAAAGAGAGATGGGTGTTACCCAGTCTAGTAATTTACCTAGTCTAGTAATACCCAGTTGAGTAATTTTGCCCTGCATTTGTATTGGTCGGCTGGAATAGTTGTGGTGGTGTAAACTAGCAGTTTTATCTTAGTCGTTTAGATGGTATGGCATACCTAAAGTGCAAGTTGGTTGTTGATGGAAGTGTTTAATGTATAGCTCTTCAGCTATATCTACTCCTCCACTGTATTTGAATATGACGATTATTTTGGTGTTACTGATTAGGATATCTCTGGAGATGGGCTTGTTGTGTATAGTAATGATGTGATCTTTGACATTACCTTTTTTGTATGTATATTGTCTAGTCTAGAGAAGTTATTGTCTTGCCTGTATATTGAGACCGTTGGAGGAAATTTCTCTAGCTTCCAGGAAAGGCAAGAGTAAACCAGCTTTTTGATAACACTAGAAAATTCTTATATTTATTTTGCAAATAATTATGCACAGTAGCGACACTTACCTGTTTGGTTCATTAAGGTGTCAACTTTACCTATGTTTCCCATGTTTTAAATTATTCTTTTGATATAAAAGAGACAATTCCTCTTACAAGACTCTCTCTCAACCAGAGGAAAAAAGACCTAAATATCATAAATATAATCAAGTAAATATTTACTATGACACGGTTCATGTAGTTCTCCTAGAAAAAAATTACATTTCGAAAAATTATTGAAATAATTTTTGCTCACTCTTCTACTTTCTGTAGACATACATAACATATAAATTATAACACATGGGAAAGAGCCCTAAGTGACCCAAGATTAAACAAGAGTTGCCTGCTAGGACCACCACAGTGTAGGTGCCTGCTAGGACCACCACAGTGTAGGTGCCTGCTAGGACCACCACAGTGTAGGTGCCTGCTAGGACCACCACAGTGTAGGTGCCTGCTAGGACCACCACAGTGTAGGTGCCTGCTAGGACCACCACAGTGTAGGTGCCTGCTAGGACCACCACAGTGTAGTTGCCTGCTAGGACCACCACAGTGTAGGTGCCTGCTAGGACCACCACAGTGTAGGTGCCTGCTAGGACCACCGCAGTGTAGGTGCCTGCTAGGACCACCACAGTGTAGGTGCCTGCTAGGACCACCACAGTGTAGGTGCCTGCTAGGACCACCACAGTGTAGGTGCCTGCTAGGACCACCACAGTGTAGTTGCCTGCTAGGACCACCACAGTGTAGTTGCCTGCTAGGACCACCACAGTGTAGGTGCCTGCTAGGACCACCACAGTGTAGGTGCCTGCTAGGACCACCACAGTGTAGGTGCCTGCTAGGACCACCGCAGTGTAGGTGCCTGCTAGGACCACCACAGTGTAGGTGCCTGCTAGGACCACCACAGTGTAGGTGCCTGCTAGGACCACCACAGTGTAGGTGCCTGCTAGGACCACCACAGTGTAGGTGCCTGCTAGGACCACCACAGTGTAGGTGCCTGCTAGGACCACCACAGTGTAGGTGCCTGCTAGGACCACCACAGTGTAGGTGCCTGCTAGGACCACCACAGTGTAGGTGCCTGCTAGGACCACCACAGTGTAGGTGCCTGCTAGGACCCCCACAGTGTAGGTGCCTGCTAGGACCACCACAGTGTAGGTGCCTGCTAGGACCCCCACAGTGTAGGTGCCTGCTAGGACCACCACAGTGTAGGTGCCTGCTAGGACCACCACAGTGTAGGTGCCTGCTAGGACCACCACAGTGTAGGTGCCTGCTAGGACCACCACAGTGTAGGTGCCTGCTAGGACCACCACAGTGTAGGTGCCTGCTAGGACCCCCACAGTGTAGGTGCCTGCTAGGACCACCACAGTGTAGGTGCCTGCTAGGACCCCCACAGTGTAGGTGCCTGCTAGGACCACCACAGTGTAGGTGCCTGCTAGGACCACCACAGTGTAGGTGCCTGCTAGGACCACCACAGTGTAGGTGCCTGCTAGGACCACCACAGTGTAGGTGCCTGCTAGGACCACCACAGTGTAGGTGCCTGCTAGGACCACCACAGTGTAGGTGCCTGCTAGGACCACCACAGTGTAGGTGCCTGCTAGGACCACCACAGTGTAGTGCCTGCTAGGACCACCACAGTGTAGGTGCCTGCTAGGACCACCACAGTGTAGGTGCCTGCTAGGACCACCACAGTGTAGTTGCCTGCTAGGACCACCACAGTGTAGTTGCCTGCTAGGACTAGGACCACAGTGTAGGTGCCTGCTAGGACCACCACAGTGTAGGTGCCTGCTAGGACCACCACAGTGTAGTTGCCTGCTAGGTACCAGTTGCCTGCTAGGACCACCACAGTGTAGTTGCCTGCTAGGACCACCACAGTGTAGGTGCCTGCTAGGACCACCACAGTGTAGGTGCCTGCTGCTAGGACTACCACAGTGTAGGTGCCTGCTAGGACCACCACAGTGTAGTTGCCTGCTAGGACCACCACAGTGTAGTTGCCTGCTAGGACCACCACAGTGTAGTTGCCTGCTAGGACCACCACAGTGTAGTTGCCTGCTAGGACCACCACAGTGTAGGTGCCTGCTAGGACCACCACAGTGTAGTTGCCTGCTAGGACCACCACAGTGTAGGTGCCTGCTAGGACCACCACAGTGTAGTTGCCTGCTAGGACCACCACAGTGTAGGTGCCTGCTAGGACCACCACAGTGTAGTTGCCTGCTAGGACCACCTCATTGTAGTTAGGAATCAATCAGCTGTAGGCGTTTCTACTGATTAGATACGAGATAAAGTTATCTTCAAAACTCGCCGCGTAACCTTAGCTAAGCTATCATAACCTAACTAAGCTACCTTAACTAAAGTTTATTAATCTAATCATAGTTAATCTAACCCAAGTTAATTTAAGTTAAGCTAAACTAAACTTAGGCAATCTCCATGGCGCAGTGCTTACACACTCGCCCCGCGCTTCGCAAGCAATTTGAGCTGGGTTCGTATCCTGACCGAGGAGGATTGACTAGCACCAATCCATAACTTTTTTTTCAGGGATATTCCTGCGTAGGCCCCTAAGCCTCTGGCTGGCCCACTAAGTGTTGCTTGTTTCTGTTTTACTTGGGCGGAGTATGAGTATTTATGACTCGAATGGTCGCTTCAGTAAAATTTTGTCCCATGTGTTTAACAACTTCTTCTGCTCTGTTGAATCTAAGTTGAAATCTTAATGGGTTTGTAACTGTGCACTGTGTTAGATAATGTTCCAGTGGTCTGTCGGGCATTTCTCCACAGTGCTGACATTTCCTCTCATATTCCGGAACCTGTAAGCCTATTTCCCATGCACATGGGTATCCAAGCCTGATGCGATGTAAGTGTACTCCCAGACACCTGTTTACTGCTGGGTGAGTGCGGGCATCAGGGAGGGGGAAAGGAACTCTGCCAATTTGTTTCCGATTCCGCCGGAAAACGAACCCGGGCCATTAGGACTACGAACCCAGAGCGCTGTTCACTCAGCCGCGAGCCCCCATATGTGTGTGCGTGTGTGTGTGTGTGTGTGTGTGGTGTGTGAGAGAGAGAGAGAGAGAGAGAGAGAGAGAGAGAGGAGAGAGAGAGAGAGAGAGAGAGAGAGAGAGAGAGAGGAGAGAGAGAGAGAGAGAGAGAGAGAGAGAGAGAGAGAGAGAGAGAGAGAGAGAGAGAGAGAGAGAGAGAGAGAGAGAGAGAGAGAGAGAGAGAGAGAGAGAGAGAGAGAGCGAGAGAGAGAGAGAGCTCTTGATAAAGAGTGCCATCTAGAGGCTGAATGTTGCATCTAGCTGTGAGGACACCAACTGATGACGTCACAGGTTAGGATACCAGATATATTTTTGTATATCACCGGTTTTATTCTGCAATAATTCTTTATCTCCTAATTAACAATTTCAAATGGTTGAAAAGTTTCACTTTTATTGGGTGCATAAGAGATAAAACAGAATGTTATAAGCAGGGCAGGTGTACCGAACACAGGTGATATTATTGAGTGGGTGGAGCCTTTAGTGTTCCTTCCTGTGATTGGCTATTGCGGTGAATGTCAACAAAGTGTTTCTACCAATGAGGCACAAGTAGGGGAATGCTTTCTTGAGGACAACAACACTTAAGTCTTATCGGTTGCTGTTGATCCGTTGATAGTTTAATGTTCTCCCAATAGATGGCGTCAGCTGTTTCTTATAGACTGCTTGGAGGTGAGCCTTGTCGATTGTTTAATTTTATGACAATAGATGACATCAGCTGTATCTTATAGGCGTCCTTACGATGTTTAAATCACAGTAGACTTACTTATGGTTCCTATAGTACAAAAAATGCCTATTGTGTGTCGAGTACAGTCACTAATATGGACGAATAGTTTAGTCTGGTGAATACACGGGTTTTTGACATTTGACATCCAACATTATTTCCGGAACAGCAAATTCTTACAGTAACATTCGTTTCTACAACAGTAAACTGTTAGTTCATATTAATGACTGTTACATATGGAAAACAGTTTTGTGCTGTGTGTTGGTGCTGGGTACTGTGTAACTCAGTGTTGGTGCTGGGTACTGTGTAACTCAGTGTTGGTGCTGGGTACTGTGTAACTCAGTGTTGGTGCTGGGTACTGTGTAACTCAGTGTTGGTGCTGGGTACTGTGTAACTCAGTGTTGGTGCTGGGTACTGTGTAACTCAGTGTTGGTGCTGGGTACAGTGTAACTCAGTGTTGGTGCTGGGTACTGTGTAAGTCAGTGTTGGTGCTGGGTACTGTGTAACTCAGTGTTGGTGCTGGGTACTGTGTAACTCAGTGTTGGTGCTGGGTACTGTGTAACTCAGTGTTGGTGCTGGGTACTGTGTGGTGCTGGGTACTGTGTAACTCAGTGTGGTGTTGTGTGTTGGTGCTGGGTACTGTGTGGGTACTGTGGTGCTGGGTACTGTGTAACTCAGTGTGGTGCTGGGTACTGTGTAACTCAGTGTTGGTGCTGGGTACTGTGTAACTCAGTGTTGGTGCTGGGTACTGTGTAACTCAGTGTTGGTGCTGGGTACTGTGTTACTCAGTGTGGTGCCGTCTATGGATACTGAGCTTTGCAGGATAAATAAGACTAAAATATACAAATTTTCGAGGTAATGAATTATTATACTATTTTTTTTTACAACTCGTACACTCGACATATATTTCACAGCACGAAGGATATTGTATATATATTTTTTTTACAATAGAACATATAATTACACCCATAAGAGAGAATGTCTGTCTGTTCGAGGTCAGAGGTCAGACAGTTGCCGGTTGCCTCACTGAACTTTTCCTGGTTAATTGTGATTGTATGGAGAGTTTCATAAGGTGGTTGGGTACGACCCCTCCCCCATGCCCCTCTTTAAGTACGATTGATTCCTATTGTGATAACCAACGACTACTATGAAGTATGTGTGTGTGTGTGTGTGTGTGTGTGTGTGTGTGTGTGTGTGTGTGTGTGTGTGTGTGTGTGTGTGTGTGTGTGTGTGTGTGTGTGTGTGTGTGTGTGTGTGTGTGTGTGTGTGTGTGTGTGTGTGTGTGTGTGTTTGTGTGTGTGAGTGTATGGATGTGTGAGTGTGTATAATCAAGGAGAAAAACATATCTATTTGCTCCTTAATTTTTCTATCACTGTATGTGCTAAATAAAAACTTAATCTAGGCCTCTATATAATAATAATAATAATAATAATAATAATAATAATGATAATAATAATAATAATATCACATATCCACACCAAATCCTACTTCAAGATGTTTACAATCATGTATATAACATCAATATATTGCATATATGTGGCAAAATTATATACCACAGAAGCATATATATTTTTGGCATTTAAACCACAAAAAAAATTATTTCATGATTTCGGATGATTTTAATAACATACTTTTTTCTAAGATCACTAGTACAGTATCCAGGGCCGGTGATATTGTAGATTTTCCTTCAAATGATGGATATCGCAAGACGAATGATGGCCCTAAGAGTGGATATCGTAAGAAGAGTGTGGTAACGATACCTGTGTGTGTTCACCTTTCTCTACACTACATGTGTTCCTCCTTCCTCTACAATACCTGTGTGCTCACCTTCCTCTACAATACATGTGTTCCTCCTTCCTCTACAATACCTGTGTTCCCACCTTCCTCTACAATACCTGTGTGCTCACCTTCCTCTACAATACCTGTGTGCTCACCTTCCTCTACAATACCTGTGTGCTCACCTTCCTCTACAATACCTGTGTTCCCACCTTCCTCTACAATACCTGTGTGCTTACCTTCCTCTACAATACCTGTGTGCTCACCTTCCTCTACAATACCTATGTGCTCACTCTAGCATTATCTTCATTTAACACCTGTGATCTATTTATTAATTTCAGTTGACTCATATCATTGTTATCCAAGTCTAAGTGAAGGATACATTACATAGGTTCAATGTGAGTTCCTCTTAAGATGTTCCTCCATTCTTGTAACAAATACAAGACTGTAATATTGCCCTGAATATTTTGTATTTTTTTGTTTTTGTATTTCAGTAGTTTTTTCTCTCTCGTCCCGTCAATTCTTCAACCAATATCGCTGTTGTTTGTAACTCTTTTGTTGGTTCTTGTACCTGAGGGTAAAGTATTGGTGGTTTACACTAATGTGAACAACATGGAACACTTTAAGTTACAAGTAATCATTTATCACGTTAAAAAAATGAACAAAAGATGAATAAAGAAATGTATAGGATTCAGAGTCAATATATATATATTGGGATGTGAGTGAATAGGGAAGTTATAGGGATTGATGTTGCCATCCCTCTACGTGGGTCGCGGGAAGACATTTGAGTGTTTAAGAAATGGGAGGAGACATTACAGAAATGGGAGGAGGCATTACAGAAATGGGAGGAGGCATTACAGAAATGGGAGGAGGCATTACAGAAATGGGAGGAGGCATTAAAGAAATGGGGAGTAAAGAAATGGGTTCACATAAATAAAAGTTAGGTGAAAAAAAAAATTATATTTAAATTCTGTAAAGAATGTTTAAGCAACTTCAACTAATGCATCTCATTTTGAACGTCATGGTCCCCAACGTAACAAATTTCAAAGTACTATCAAAAGCAGAGGCTCACAATTATCCATATTTTCTATGCAACAAGTAGGTTAGGTTAGGTGGGTTGCTTGGGTACGTACATTTCAGGTGAAGCTAGTACCTTGTATTCTATACGTTGTGGCACGTGAAAAGAAAGAGGGGGCCGGGTTAAGACCCCTTTACGAAATAAACACTGATGTAAATCACCTAAAATGAATACTTACAAATCTTGAACTTCGTCGTCATCCTGAGGGTTCATGGCTATGTCACTGGACTTGGTGCTTCGTGCAGAGGCCGACTTTCTTGGCCTCATCCTCGTCTTAGAGGAGAAGTAAACACCTCCGGCGATGACCAGGAGGAGCACCAAGCCTCCGACACTGCCTCCCACTATGGCCCCGACGTGAGCGGAGGCGACGCTACCCACCGTGCTGGCCTCCACCTCCGTCGGGAGGCTGACTCCGGCGTCGTTCGCCGCCTGTACGCCAGAGGTCGAGAGTTACGTGTGCGGTGTGGTGGTGTAGCCAACCGTAGGGCAGGCCAGGTGTGTAGGGCAGGCCAGGTGTGTAGGGCAGGTCAGGTGTGTAGGGCAGGCCAGGTGTGTAGGGAAGATAAGGTGTGTAGGGCAGGCCAGGTGTGTAGGGCAGGCCAGGTGTGTAGAGCAGGTCAGGTGTATAGGGAAGACCAGGTATGTAGGTCAAGGGAACTATCAGGAGAAAGCGTCAAGCCATTACGACTATAGAGCACTTTGAAGGGATCAGGATAAGGTTTTAGGATGGGACGAGGGGATGGAATGGTGCCCAGTCACTTGGACGGTCGGGGATTGAAAGCAGACCTGGTATGTAGGGTCACGACTTAATGAAGGACCAGGTATGCAATTCACCACCTACAGTATGGGCCAGGTGTACAGGTCACCACCTACAGTATGGACCAGGTGTACAGGTCACCACCTACAGTATGGGCCAGGTGTACAGGTCACCACCAGTATGGGCCCAGGTCACCACCTACAGTATGGGCCAGGTGTACAGGTCACCACCTACAGTATGGACCAGGTGTACAGGTCACCACCTACAGTATGGACCAGGTGTACAGGTCACCACCTACAGTATGGACCAGGTGTACAGGTCACCACCTCCAGTATGGACCAGGTGTACAGGTCACCACCTACAGTATGGACCAGGTGTATAGATCACCCACTTACATACAGTAAAGATAATAGGTCAAGGATATATAAAATATTATATTTAATTCACATGCAAAACACTACCTTCCTCTAACATATGTGGCAGAGGTATCAATAATTTTGGTTAGCAGTGGCAAGCTGAAGTCCAAATTACCACTTCAAAAAATAGTCCTTTTTGTTTGGCTAATTGGAAAATTGTATTGCCATCCTATTCGCAAGGAAGTCAGTTTTACCCCGGAAGATCCTTGCAATTCTTATCGACATCTCCGTGTTAGAGGAGGAGGAGGAGGTGAGGTTTAAGTCGCCTCTACAGTCCCAAACTTTGTGGGGTCAGTCCCAGACTTGGCTCACTGGGATATCAGATCAGGAGTGGGGAGAAGGGGGGGGGGGGTCAGTCCCAGACTCTCGTTTCACTGGGACATAAAAACGACAAAGCAGTATCCACAACTTAAACAAAAATCTTAAACTGTATCTGTATGACAAATTAAAATTACAAATCACACGAATATTTTTGATGTGACAAAAATTATATGCTTAGGCTTTTAAAGAGGAAGATCAACATTATCCAAACTTTACGAGCAACTACATACGGAAATATATCAAACACAGGCTATCGTGGCGGTCAAATATTCATCCAAAATATACAGGTTGTACTTGAGTGTTTGTCTGAGCGCAGGGGGGGAAAAAAAAAGAGAGCTTACCTGAAGGTTGATTATATACGTAGTTTTAGGCTGCAAGTTGTCGATTGTGTGTTGTAAGGATGAGGGATCATCGAGTTCACGGGTATCGAACGCGTCTCCGTGAGACCAGTTGAGGACCCAGCTCTTCAACTCTCCATTGAGGCTTTGTGGAGGAGACCAGCTTAGCGTGATGGAGGTCTTCGTACTTCTCCCGGTCGTCAGGGCTTGTGGGGGGCTGGGAGCTGCTCGGGTCCGGGAAGATGATACAGGTTGAAAGAGTTATGATTATAGATATATCAATTATGACTTGAATATATAATTATAGACAAGCTATCTGTTTATTTATGAAAATGGTTATTTTTTTATTTCACAGTTGCCACCATAGACCCAACAGTTTAAGTAATACATAAAGTGTTGATAACTCGTTTGTTCCATAAATCAGATCTGAACAGATTGTAGCGCTGCTAAATTATTGCGTATTAGACCTGGATGTTATAGGCCCGGTTCGGACTCTATCAGGCTTATTCGGACATTACCAGTCTGCGTCTGAACTATTAGATCCGGCTCAGGCAATATCAAGCCCCAGAAGAACGTCATATCTGATTGATTGATGAAGATTAAGCCACCCAAAAGGTGGCACAGGCATGAATAGCCCGTAAGTGGTGGCCCTTTTGAGCCATTACCAGTATCATTAGCTGATACTGGAGATCTGTGGAGGTGCGACTGCACCCTGCGTGACGGGAGATGTCTCTCGTGCATCATCATATCTCCCCGTCGGGACACTATCAAATACCCACCTTCTTCCCCAGTGGTGGCTGTGCTCACATACCCACCTTCTTCCCCAGTGGTGGCTGTGCTCACATACCCACCTTCTTCCCCAGTGGTGCCTGTGCTCACATACCCACCTTCCTCCCCAGTGGTGCCTGTGCTCACATACCCACCTTCCTCCCCAGTGGTGCCTGTGCTCACATACCCACCTTCCTCCCCAGTGGTGCCTGTGCTCACATACCCATCCCCACCTATG